CATCAAACTGCCCTCTGGTGTCCCTCCCCCTTTTGCACCCTCTTCGTGAACCAATTGCTCGTTCTCAACTTGAAGCAACCAAACAGGAAGTGAAGCCAGAGTCGGGCTAGCTATATTATTTAGTATATTTTTCAGTGCGGCTTGGTGCCGTTTCAGGTTGTATCTATTAGTAACAAGTTTGTGGTTACCGCCTCTTTTTCAGGACCTGCTTCTCTGTGGATCCAAACATACCAAGCTTGGGCTCCGTACTTCTTTAGTAATTGCCAGAAATTTATTTTACGTATTGTTGTCGTCCGTCCCCCCCCCCCCCCCCCCAAAAAAAAAAAATTTTTTTTTGTACAAAATTTTGGTACTTTCCCAATAAAAACTCCTCGTTGATGAGCTTCACAGCTCCATTCTTCGTGTTACTTCACGTCACGTTATTGGTGGTCACTGGCTGCTCTGTCATTCACACAGCCTGTAGTTTGTTTACAACACATTGACGAGTTTGCAGACCAAAAAAATGCCAGGAAAATTTTTAAGTTTTGGCTATTAACAACAAAAAAGCTGGATGTAACATCTTTGATTTGTGTAGCTAAATATGGATATGTCAATAGAAAATACAAACAATTTAAAAAATAAAATAAATAAAAAGCCTTGTCGTTCATTGCATCAGTTTGCAAGCCAAAGCATTTACAAAGACAAAGCTTTAGCTGCAAAAAGCAGCGCAATGAATGGAGTTTTTGACAAAGAACTAATAGAGTACGTTTACATGCAGCCAATATCCGGGTTATGATCGGGTTAAGGTCGGTATTCGGGTTTCTGAGTTGATCAGAATAACCCGTTTACAAGCATAAATAGAGTTACCTCTAACTTGCATAACCCGATTTAAATGCGGACGTTGGGGTAGCGTCAGGACGTATGGACTACGTCCAGACGCAATATGTGTCATTTCCGGTTCTTCTTGTTCCAGTATCCGTGAAAACAACATGTTTCCCAGTTCGGAAGAGATAGCGACCGCGTTTGTTTGCGCTTTAGTTTCTTCGTCACTCCAAAAGTGTGGTGCTGTGCCGCGACTCGCCATTTTGCCCCCAACTTGTTGTTTACTTCCGGTGTTCTGGCGCATACAAGACGTCTCGCTACTCAAAAGACCAAGATTCCTTGCGAACAGAGCATGCGCAGAACACACGCTTTGATGGGGATGTCCCGGTATGCGTTTACACGACCAAACATTCGGGTTAGAAAAGGATTACCCCAGGTGTAGTAACCGGGTTTTTAAAAACCCGGTTATGAGCATATCCGGGTTTTTGGCGGTGTTTACATGGACCTGCGGAACCGGGCTATTGTGAATATTCGGGTTTTAAAAGGGTTACTGGCTGCATGTAAACGCACTGATAATTGCACCCACATTTTCAAGGTTTACGCAAATTTCTCTTAACACCGGTCGTTTTTGCATTTTAAATTACCCAACCTCTGGGCTACAGCAGCACATGCAAGTCGTCTCAGAAAAATACCGTTAAAGTCCGTTTAATTTCTTAAACAAAACAAAAAAAAAAAAAGAAAAAAAACTGTTGCCCTCTCACAGCAGGCCCATTCGAGAGAAAACGACGGAACCGATATCCGCCAAAGCTGTGCTAAAAGTGTAGCCCTAACTCTGTAAAACTGACAACGAATGACCAGTTTTATCATGTTTGATATTAACCTAAAGCTTTGGTAAGTGTTATTTTTAGCACTGCTGCTCACTGGTTGATTGGAACACTCCCAGCATGCTTCACGCTAGCATTAAAAATCAACCAAAATTAATTAAATACGGTTTGTTTTTGTTCAAGGTGAAACGTATCATTTATTAAATGAACTTATAGACCTACATTTTACTATTTGACCAGAGTTTTTAAGTAAAAAGTAAATAAGTGGCACCATGACTGAAACAGGTTATGGAGTTGATTAAAAATAATTAATTTCAGCACAGATGGGTGGAGCTAAGTAAGGAAACATCTTGTTGAATTTCACAATAAAATTCAACATGTACGTGACGAGAGGGGACAAACTGCTTCAGATAGTCCCTGATCAACATAACGCCCTTGATTAACTACGGTAAATACGAGTTGACAGCGTGAGTTTAGGGGTCCTGGCAGACAGTTACTGGAATGTGTGCTTTCAAAATAAGACGACTGAAACATCTGGTTGAATTCTATAGGTTCCTCACAATGGCAATGTGTGATCTGCTGCGACTTGTCACATTTGTGTGTGAAAGAAAAGGAAGATGAAGTGTGAAGATTCCTCCTGCACAGACCTGTATGGCCAGAGCCCCCTCCACCTCTGGTTCATGTTATCAGTCTCACCTTTCCCGCCGAAACAAATGATCTGTTCACTTCTACTCTCTCTGGTAGGATCAGCTAGCCTAGTGAACTAGACCAAATTCTTGCTTTGCAAAGTTTGTAAATAATACATTTATTTAGTCTGGCTTGCCAGGCTAAGGATCAGCTGCTTTAGTCTTCTTTGCTGTGTGAATATTCCTCTTAGTTTAGATGAATCAAATGGTTAGAGATGGATACATGGAGTTGCAATAAAAATACTCAGCATTTCCATTACCTAATGTTTCTCGAGAGGCCATTGGACCTTTTTCCCACAAAACAGGCCAAAGGTTATTGCTGATGTCACTCCTGGTTTGTTTGTTTGTTTATTGTGCAGTTTAGCTCAAGATGGCTGTCTCGCACTCTTAGAAATAAGTAGTTTAACTTCTTTCCGTCATCACTAGTCTACGTTGTTTCACGGTTTCTTATGATTGAAGAAAAGCTGAAAGCTAGATGTATTAATTCATTTTCTTGGTTGATTCAAATTTAGACCCGTCGACATTCTGTTTTTAATGATTTTAAAATTCTTTTAGAATTAAACTTAACAGTACAACTTCGTTAGTTTGATCATTTCTGTCTGAATGGGGAACATTTAATTTGTTCCTCATCAGTAAAAATAACTTTTTAAAAATATTTTGTCCCAGAAGAAAGGGATTTAGAAGCTCTTTGTTAGTGGAGAACAAAAAAAAGTAACATTCACAGCGCTCTTTTAAACCAGATTGTTTATCTTTAACTTTTTGAACTTGTTTTAATTTTTTGCTCACCTCAAAATATAAAATGAGCCGGTTGAATATGTCTTTAGTTTATGGGTTTATAGCTGGCACTGGGAAGGAAAATGAGAGCCTGAGAATGAAAGCAGCAGACGTGGAGCTGGTACTGTGTAGCTTTTATTAATAATAATAATAATGCATTGAACTTATATAGCGCTTTTCTAGACACCCAAAGACGCCATCACACACTCTCACATTCACACATTGCTAGTGATGGTAAGCTACTTGTAGCCACAGTCGCCCTGGGGAGGTCTGACAGAGGCGAGGCTGCCATTTGGCGCCGTCGGCCCCTCTGACCACCACTAACACAGGCAAGTTGGGTGAAGTGTCTTGCCCAAGGACACAACAGCAGGATACACCTGGCGGGAGCTGGAATCGAACCCATGACCCTCCGATCATGAGGCAACCCGCTCTACCACCTGAGCTACTACTGCTACTGACTCATCTACAGACTCTCCGACTCCACAGAGTTCATCAGGTGACTTTGGGACTGCTCCGTGCTGCTCATCGGTACTCCCTATGACTTTGCTGCTGAGGTGGGACAAAGAAACCTTTCAGAGTGAACAAAACACCTTTTATTGTCAGCTAGTTAGAAGTAATTCTATACTTTTGACTCCACTGGTCTTTCAATACTTTTTTGAGACTGCAGCTCACATGAGAGCCTTTTAGCCCGCCATGACAGTTAGAAACTGCTTGGGCGGCGCCAACCAGAGCCAACTGGAAACCAACCCCACTGACTTGTTTCGGGGCGACGGTGGCGCAGGAGTTAAGTGCTTGCCCCGTGATCGGAAGGTTGCAGGTTCGCCCCGTTCTTTCTGTCCTTGGGCAAGACACTTAACCCGCCTTGCCTGCTGGTGGTGGTCGGAGGGACCGGTGGCGCCTGTGCTCAGCAGCCTCGCCTCTGTGAGTGCACCCCAGGGCAGCTGTGGCTACGTCGTAGCTCATCTCCACCAGTGTGTGAATGTGTGTGTGAATGGGTGAATGACTGATTGTGTAAAGCACCTTGGGGGGCTCCAGGACTCTAGAAGGCGCGATTTCAAATACAGGCCATTTACCACTTACTTGTGCAGCGCAGATTAGTGGCGTGTTGGAAAATTAATTATTTCAGTAAAAAAATTAAAGCTTTATTCATAAAAATTAGGAGTTGACTTTAAATATTGACATTGTCATTATTGACTGACATCTGCTCTGTCTTCTCCGTCCCCAGTGAGTCGTGGAGGATGGCTACTTATACTGAGCCAGGATCCTCTGGAGGTTTCTTCCTGTTAAAAGGGAGTTTTCCTCTCCACTGTCGCTTTATGCTTGCTTAGTATGAGGATTGCTGTATAGTCACTGACACTAGTCAGTGACTTGATGCAATCTGCTGGGTTTCTTATATAGGAAACATTATTTCTGATTGGCTTAATGAACTGACCTGAATTGGAATGTTTATTATGTGAAGTGCCTTGAGACGACTCTTGTCGTGATTTGGCGCTACATAAATAAAATTGAATTGAATTGAATCTTTTCACTACAACCCACCAGATGTTAGGAATCTAGATTCCTCTTAGATGTCTTTCTATTCAATTCAATTCTACACATCTGGTTCTTTATTTTCAAACACTTAACAAATATTACAAGTAGCAAACTTTAAGTCCTCATTAAAAAAATGACACCATTGATGTGCAAATTAACTCCTTGTCAGCTGTGCGTTCCCCCTCTAAGGAAAAAGGATTTTTAAGTGCTTAACTATCTGGATGAATCAGTCGAGCTTTAAATTGGCCAATTCCAATCGCTAGCTGATTTAATTAGTGTTTTCCCAGCATCAGTGACCAACAGGAGGTTTTTAATTTCCTGCAGTATTTGGTGTCATTTTTTATACTGTCATGTTTGTGTTTCTCGTATCTTGTGTTTAAAGTGATTCTTCAGTCCTGAGATGAATTTCGAGCAGCCTCCTCCATACCCAGGCAGTGGCCCAAGTGCTCCAGGCTACCCAGCTCAGGGCCCACCTCCCCAAGGGTACCCACCCCAGGGGTATGCTCCTCAGGGGTATCCAGTGAACATGGAACAGCCTAATCCAGCGTACCCTAACTACCCTCCTGGGTCAGTGGGACCTGGGGGTCCTTATGCTGGCCCAGGACAGCCTCCGTATGGATACCCCGGACAACCACAGTATGCCTGGCAGGGTGGACCCCCTCCTGGGCCCATGTATGGGGAAGCCCCTAAAAACACAGGTTAGTGGTGTAAAACACAGCAGCACAGAAACCACTTGATGATGTCTGGTTTTATCCTAGTCCTGGAACTCATCAGCTGTGCCTTATTAACTCAAAGCAGTTTTATTAAGCTGCTGTAGTTGTTTGGTGATCTAAAGAGAGCAAAGAGAGGTGGATCAATCACCGCCACAGCAAGCTAGCATCGCAGAATTAGCATCTCCTTCCATTATACACACACACACCAATTAGGCTTTGTGACCAGTATAGCCTTCACACAATTAAAGGGGTTTATGGTCCTGTAAACCACTGGTATACAGGTGGTGATTTTAAAATAAAAGGTGCTGGAACATCTGTTCTAAGAGTGCTCTTTTGCACTTTTAGTTTTCTTTGCATTTAGCTGAATTAAGAGAAGTTTCTACCGTTGCTTCATTGGTTGTTAATCGTTTGCACTGTGCAGAAATCTTGAGTCATCCAACAAGGTGTCAAACTTCCTTGCAGATTTGTAAAAGCAGTCTTCTCTCAGGCTGTCTGGCTTTTTTTTAAATCACTAAGCATAGTTTTAATTAAACTTCCTAACCGTGACGGAAATCTTTAAAAGTGCAACAACCAACTTGGCAAAGAACCAGCTGTAAAGTTTCTTTGGGTGTTTCGTCTGCCGTTTGGATGTATTTTCAACTGGACAGTGAATGCAGTGCTGCAGCCACTTCTAACGTGTGAAAATTGGGTATTTCACGTGGTGGAAGAAGGCAGGGCTGCGTTCAGCACTACAAGTCTAATATGCCAACTTAAAAAAACAAACTTTTGTCAATTTTCAGGCGTCACCACAGCGAACAATCTGTCTCCATACGTCCTAGTCCACCACTAATAATTCCAGTTTATTGCAGCAATTCAGACAAAAATGCCGAGCCAGCCGAAACAGAAAGAAACCGTGTTTCATTCAAAACCTAGCTTGTTTGCAGATTCGTTATAATGGCTTTAAAGAGACAACGTGTAGTTTTAACCATCTATCTCTGGAATTATCCATAAAAATGTTGTTGAAAATTAAATAAATGAGGCCCAGATGTTAGAAAAATATAGGCGGCTTTGTAACATATGACCATAAAAATTGGGTCTAAAATACATGGGGGGTGTCTTAAAGAGCAAGTAACGTCTAAATTAACTTTTTTTTGCTGATGAACTGTATAAATGAGTGTCTAATAGTGTTTTAAATGTGTGTATTCATTATTTTAGCATTTTGGTGCATTTTCTTAAAAAATTAAAAATTCTGCCTAAATACCACAGTATAGCTCCACCTTCAGCTTAAAACATAGAATATGACTCATTTTGAATAAATTTTAGCCAATGGCTAAAGAGTAAGATACTACGTAATCCAGTAGAGTACTACGTAGCAGCTCTGTGTCAACGTTATAAAAGCATCGGGAGTCTCGGCCACGCCTTGTGGCGAGTTGGGAGTTGGATTTGCATGAGAGTGTAGGAGGCTAGCCGTAGTTCAGCATTAGCATATAGCATTAGCATATCCTAGTCTTTAGCATAGCTTTTAGTGTTATACATACTTATTTAGTGTTAGCTTGGCTGTTGGATATTGTAGTTTAGTTACTGTTTGGCTGTTAGTGTAATTAGGAAAGTAGTTCGGGTTTAGTGCTCCATGTCGTGTTAGCATGGTGAGATGGTGTAGTGTAGTATGGTTGCGGAGCTCTGTCGGGTTGCACTCCTTTCCGCTGGACTTAGAAATTAGGCGCCAGTGGTTGCGTGTCTGGAAAAGATTCAGCTCCCGCCTGGTGCTGTAGTTTGCAACCAGCATTTTACCCGCGATTCTGCACGTCTCCGTTCCAAGAGGGAGGTTGTGCCCACCGTGGCTCTTCCGCGATTTAGATACAGACCACCGACTCTGCTCCCCCACCATGACGGGCTACAGTCTGAGGTGAGTAAGCTAAATAAAAGTTTTAACATCTTCTAAAGACAATTTCCTACCTAAATGCAAAGTTTGAGAGACGTGGTTCACTCCATTTAGCTAATATCAGTCTGCACTGCCTTCGGGCTGATTTGTCAAGTTCACAAAATGTGGAACGGGATGTAAGGTTAGAATCAGCGGCGAATCGGAACATATCTCGAAGCCCTGGCCGACAAAACGGTCCACATGACTGTCAGGCTCAGAGAAAATTCGGGTTGTTTTTGTGTCAGTCGGTAATTCAGCAACAGTGACTCTAAACTGACGCAGCACTAGTTGACAGACAGCATTACAGCGTGAAATCTAGCACAGCGTGACCCGGTTCCGTGAGGAATTCTGTTCAGGAGGTCGCATTTCAGGGTCTCCACATCATATGTGACTGACTTTTACTTTATAATAACATCACACACTAGGAATGTTATAAAGCGCCTATATGGGACATTTTTTTTTTGTATTTTATCTGACTTTATAAACATCAATGTGCTTCTATTTTTTTTCAGGCTAAATCTACCCAAGACACTGGCTGTCAGACTGATTTAGTAATCTGCAAGAATGCACTTGTCCAGGCTGACGTGAAGCCTTACCCGTAGCAAAGGTGAATTATTTTTAATAATCTTCTATGTAAACATTTTATTACCTTCTAGTTTTAATTTGTTTTACAGATTGTTACAAGTGATTTTATGCTCTTTTAAACATTTATAAATGTGCTGCTTCTTTGTTTTTATAGAGCTCACAGCCTCAGTGTCTTGTGACACAGGGACCATGACAGAAATTCATCTTCCAGAAGGTCCCAGAGCATCCACACCCCCTGAAAAGACCACGGTGTGAGGTGTCTGCTGTTGATTCCAGCTTCCACCTCAGTGACAGTGCAAGCTCAGTGAACTGTTCAAGGTAAAAAAAAATTAAAACATTTCTGAATTTTTAAGATATTAACAATTAAATAAGTATGTGATTACATCATGAAGGAGGCTACTGATTCTGGCCCTGTGACACTTGGTGGTCACCACCAGGTGGTGACGTGTGAGCTGATTCACCTGGTAAATAACTTTTAAATATTTTGTTTTTGCTATCAAAAGTAAATTAACTAATAACCTGCATTACTGCAGGACACTCAGCAAAATATGGACTCTACACCATGAGGCAGGCACACGTTAATAACTCTATAAGAGTACATAAGGTAAGCAACACCACATATTATTTTTATTACTGTACACTGTCCTGGATTTGTTTTCTTTCTGCATGATTTGTTTTCTTTCTGCATCTCATCATTAGCCTGGCTGATCACCTGATAACTCATGTTATCTGGTTATGACAGCATGAGGATGTCCTCACACACCTGTAACCTACCAGCTCATCTGGCAGAATAGAGAGAGAAGAGACAACACCACATCTCCTGTTCCTGGAAAGCCTTCAGCCATCCTTCGATGACTGAGAACCTCCATCAGCTCTGTCTCCTGTCTGCCTACAATTATTATAATAAATATTGTGTTTGACAAGTTTTTTGTGCTGCCGAATATCTCATTTTGATTCCAGTTTTGATATTTTAATGGATATTTATAAATTACATTGATTATCACATTGTTGCATGTTTAACTAGCTATTGTGATTAATTAAACTAGCACCTCACTGTTAAAAGCTCGTTTTAATTTCAAGCATGTTTAAGTATTTATGGACATGAACAAAAACAGGAAATATATAAATTGAGATTTATTTAATTAATATAACAAATAAGGGGGAAAGAGTCATTGAAAGGCACATTCTTCTGGAAGCTCCTGATCCCGACGACATCAGCAGGAGATCAGCTGCAGACACCAGAGGATCACCTGCAACCAAGAGCAGCTAGCATCAGTAAATAAATAATGAAATCAGGGCAGTTTTAATGGGCTGAACACATTACAGAATAATTTTCTCATGGGATATTTTCATAACTTTATGCAGCAGACTGTAGCTTGAGCCCAGATCTCCTGGAGAGCTGCTATCCAGCACGTTTCAGTGGATTTTCCTGCTTTAACAGGTTAGATAAGCTGTTAAGCAGCTCAGCTGTTTGTTGCTGATTAAAACCAGGTGTGTTGATGCAGATAAATCTCTAAAACATGCTGAATACTAGCTTTTTAGGGCCATGGAGACAAACCCTGCAGCTAATCCAATGCTATGGCTAACGGCTACTTACGTTCAGAGATGGGTCTGTTGGGTCGGTTCCAGTAATTTCAGGCAACTCACAAGCTCAAAACAATAAGGCTCATGTCCGCTTGTCTCCTCCAAATAGACTTGGTCCCTTTCTTCTCGAGTGTCTGGGTAAGGAGGGGGAGAAACGTCCTCCACTTCTAATGACTGCTCAGAGTGAAGGGAGCTAGCTTCGTCTAGTTAGCCGTCTCTTCGTCACTGCCGCGGCTCCGCCCTCTCGGTCCTCCAGGCAACGCCTACTAATGTTGCAGTTTTCAAAATTGATACGTGGGTGGGGTAAGACTCTGAGGCACACTTGACATGCACTTTAAGTCTCTAGGTGACGTCCTGTTAGACGCAGTGTTTTCCTCTACAGGAGCCCACGAGGACAAAAGCATTTACTGATTTTATAACAAACGGTTACAAAACTTTCACCATTCATTAACATTGTTTTATGCGTTTACCTCTTCACTCGTTGCCGGTGATGAGAGTCTGATGTGCTCGTTATTTATCTGGAGTTTGTGTTCCCAGGGATTTTTGACCCTAATGGCCATCCGTTGGGAAAGCCTTACTGGAACAATGATTGATGTGTGTACTGCCCCCTATCGCCAGGAAAGGTACACATAGTCACTTCAAGTAATTTATTTCAAAATGGGGGATATTTGGTTCTTCTTCAATGGTATATGGTGGACTGCCCCATCGACTGGCATCCGTAGCAGTGAATACGTCACATTGTTGCTCCGATTGGTCTGAACAGTCGTTTCCAGCTCTATGAGTGAGCCGTTTCAATGGCTCATGGCCAGACCATATATTTGCATATATAAGATGGCTTTCCAGGCTAGTTTTTTGGGAGTTAAACTAAAGAAATCACATAAATACAAAAAGAAAAATACGTAAATATTATTTAAAACAAAAGTTAAAAGACAATTTGGAATTTTGTATGTTGTGCAATTTTAATGTATTTTAAAGATCAGGACTCAGACTCAGCAGAGACTCAAATTCAAATGAGCAACAATCGCGAGCAACATCGTGATCAGAACATCCCGAGTAAAAAGTACGATATTTATGCCCGTCCAACGGCGTTATTTCTTGCCAGTCTTTTTGTAAACAACTGAAAGTAGAAGTGGAACAAACATTTTTGAAACAAGTTCTCGAAAAATACTATTTAAAGTAAATTTCACTAATTGATATGCAGACTTGGTGTTGGTTTGTCGTTTTAGTTGGGCGTCACTTTTACTTTGGGATGCTTTAAAGGTCACTGGTTAGTGGTTTAACAAGCAAAGTGTCAGCCCCTTCTAAAGGTCAGCTCCAAACGCCAATAAAACACAAATGAACCATTGTCTTATCTTTTGTAGGAAGTGTAGTTAGCCTTCAGATACCTCCACTCTGCTTTTTCTTAATCAGTGGAATTTAAACCCTCACAGCAAGAAAAGTTGGACAGTACAACGGATTAGTTTGATTTAGTTTATTTGATCTATGAAAATGTTTATAGGATGTGGTTTAGCCCGGTTGATGATGAGAATCGTCCACGTTCTGGAGGATTAGGAGGCTGGGAGACCAAGCGGAAGGGCCCGAATTTAAGTGAAAGTTACATTGCATACTCCAGGTGTTGGGAGATTATGCAACGTTTAGCAATATTGCATCACTCATGAGGCTATTTTCAAAATTTGATCAAAGTGTCTATAATTTCCTAATTTGTCAGCATGAAATGATTTTAGTTGTAAAAGTCTGGTTTGAATGGTAGTGCTTCAAAGAATGATGGGCCTTTGAATTATGATTTCATCAAGTTTCTGTTGAATAAGTATTTTTGTTGACATCTAGTAATTTTGTTATTGGAAATTAAGTTTCACAAAAAAAGATGGCGTCAATTTAGCTGCGTCTCCCAAATTAGCATCCAGTAAACATTTTCACAAAGTTGAAAAAAGAAAAAAATCTTTATGATGAAAAAGTGAATTTAAACGTCAGTTTGTGTTTGAGACCGTGGTGAGTGAGGTCCTTGACTAACTTTAGCTATGCTGCTGCTGGTGGGTTAAACCTTTAGCTGTGAGCTGTTTAAATCAAGAGGAGCATCATTGAACGTTGGTTAAACACCGATCGGGTTTGTGTGGCGTCGTTATCAGAACCCTGGCTTTACTGTGGAGCCGGCAGCGGGTCACTAGAGCTGCTTATCGGGTAGCGCTGGCCGTTAACAGCTTTGGTTCCACATAAATGATTAATCACGCAAACGCATGCATCATGCAGGCCTTTTGTTTGACTTGTTGTTGTTGTTTTGGTGTGAACATCTGTTAAAGCTCCCACGTGAGCAACACAATACTTTTAATGTTTCTAATGAATACAAAAACACACGACTGAATTCAACTGCTGTATAAAGGGAACAGCCTTGTGTGTTGTAGTGACACAGCAGCACCATGGGCACCAGCCTGCCATCCCATCACAACTCTTGGCTGCTATGGCGTTACCATGGAGACACGCCTCCTATGAGGAATGTAATTAGAGGAAATCATATCAGCCGTGGTTACCCTTGAACTCACTGCCGGAGCCGTGACGGGCATCATTTTGAGAATTATCTTTGCGACTGTGCCTTTTTATTGCAGAGATCACTAATTGCTTTCTCTATTCTTTTGCCCAATCTCTCATCTTTTCTAACCCTTTCAATCTGTTCTTCTTCACAGTGTACGTGGTGGAAGACAGGAGACGGGACGACACAGGAGACACATGCCTGACAGCCTGCTGGACAGCCCTGTGTTGCTGCTGTCTCTGGGACATGCTGACATAACTGTTCGACCCCTCCCCCCATCTCTGCAGCGTGCCCCATCGACCCTTTTCCCTATCTGCCTTAAGTCCTCTCCACCTTACAGCTCTCCTTTTGTTTCCTCTACAAGTTGTGTCCTTGTCTATAAATAAATGCCTCAGTCCCTCGTGAAAGACCCTCCGCTCGGCGTGAAGCCCCCAGCGGGGGCCGAGCCCTCCGTAGGTTGCCCCGTAGCAGCTTGTAAATGAGCATCTAAACGCAACGTGATTCTCAGGCTCCTCGCCCAAATTATGTTCCTACGCACAATCAGCACACACACAAATTAAGCTACCAATGAAACGGTAGTAAAAGGGAGTGTTTCCACCAAAGGTGCTCCAGTGCTAGCTCAAGGCTAATGGTAGAGCTGGCTTTCATCTTATATTTTAGAAGAAAAACAACCACTTCTTCCTGTAAACGTTTGCGTCTCCATCTGGTGAATTATGAGTGTCAGTGGAGGATTACAGAGCAGGGGGAGCGTTTATTCACACACATCACTGCATTTGTTTCCTAAAGTCCCTGCTCTGTTTTATAAACCCCGTTTCAAACAACAGGTCACACAAATGCTCTTTCTGGTGTTTGTGAGCTCTACTGCAAACAGGACTTACATCCAGCGTTTCAGGCTGGTGTTTATAATTCATAATGGCCTTCGTTAAAAGAGCTAACGGCGTTTATAAACTATTTATGAGGCATTTATTTAAAGGCAGGTTATGGTGGAAAACAGAAAGCCACACTTGTTTAACTGGTTGCTGGTCTCTTTGAGCCCACCTCTGGTTCCTGATTCTCCGTCCCAAACACAGAGTTGGGCTGAAAGGTTTTAGTTTTCCATCTGGAGGCAGAACGATGGAAGCCGAACTGGAGCTAAGCGAGTTCTGGCTCCACGTTTAGCACTGGAACCAGTTTGGTGGGAAAACTCCTAGAGAGGATCTCAGGCTCATCTGGTGTGATGCTCTTTGGCACTTTACAATGATTACCTCTTTGTGGTCTCACCCCTGCCTGCCTGTTCCTCCCCCTCCCCACCCCTGCTACCACACCCATTATACCTAAGGCCCACCGCCATTCCCACAATTCACCATAACCCCTGCTCTTACTGAGCCACGGGGCCATCCTTAAACAGCTGATGCCTGGAATGTATCACTTTGATTTCTCACTATTTGTTTAGCAGGTTTATGTCTTTGAATGGAATCATGAAAATGAATGCAATGTTTTTAACGCCAGTGATTTACGTCTGATTACTGTTAATGGCTGAAACGTTCTGTTTTTGCATAAACTTCCGGTGGAATGATTCTATTGTTTTTATTCTGAATCTATGGAAATAAACCTGACGATATGAAACCGTTGTGAAGCTCAACAGCAGAAACCCCTTTTGTTGGACGCCTTTTTGCTTTGGATGAGAGTCTTGCATTAAAGTAATTTATTGCTAAAATTGAAGATGGTGTTATTTTTAATTGGTTAGATTGCAGCGTGTGTGTGTGTGAGGGTGTGTGTGTGTTTTTTCAATATCAAAGGGAAACTAGATGGGTACTGTGTTGGTCATCATTAGTTGCAACACATCAGCTGCCTTAGCAGTATATGTAAGCTTCAGACACATTTTATATTGTTCCCTGGCATAGTTTTCATATTTATCTACAAAAAATAAAGCCTAGTACTCTTATCTGTCTACAGGATGTTTTGCTAGACTACAGAAAAAAATGTGATTTATATAAATGAAATGAATTCAACTGAATTGAGATTGTGAAAGTTTAATACTTTTGTCAGAAACTGACAATCAAATATCCGATTTATTGCTGATTAAAATCTATAATTTGACATTTTCTCATATGAGTGACAAAAATAATGAACTTTTTCATGATTTAAGTTTTTGAGCTGTACCTAACATGGTAAAACTTTCTGTTATCCAGACATGAAGTATGGTGAAACACACACACTCACACACACTCACATACACGCCTGTCTATCATAGTGAGGACCCTCCATTGACTTCCATTCATTTTTGAGATTTCACCATGCCGATCTAACCCTAACCTTAACTACAACTTAATTCACACCACACCTCTAACTGGTATAGTAAGCTTCTGGTATGCTTCTAAAAAATGGAGGACCAAATAAATGTCCTCACTTTGAAAAATGTCCTCACTTTGCTACCAGTGTGCTCAGTTTGCAGGTAAAAAACTTGTTTTGGTCCTCACTTTGATGTATAGACCAGGACACACACACGAAAATAAACCCATTAAAATAAATTTGCAGTTTGGGCCACGTGACCTGGCTATAAACCTCTCCAGGTTTTCTGAGGACCAACTTGCAGACATGAGCAGGATTATTTTAGGTGTTGGATTATTTTCTGCTCAAATTTGGTCCGTAATCAAAAATTTTCACCCTGTTGCAGGAAAATCCACACCTGTATTGTTTGTGTTGGAGTGATCCATAATCCAGGTCCTTTGGGGCCATTGTCCTGCAGATGTTTTTCTACTTCAACACACCTGATTTGGACCAGTGGTGATTAAAAGCCTGCGGCCAAACTCGAGCACCTGCTGAGCAGGTAAGTTAACCATTTAACCAAATGTGTTGGAGCAGGAAAACAACTAAAACATGCAGGATAGCGAACCCTGACGACCAGAATATAACATCACTGATATAGAGGAAGATTAGATGATAGTTCTACTGGACTGGACCCCCAGCTTTCATGTTGACACATCAGACCTGAAAAGGTTTTCCAGTCTCTTCTGGTCCAGTTCTGGTGATCCTGTGTGAGTTGGCCTCAGTTTCCTGTTCTTAGCTGACAGGAGGGACACCTGGTGTCCATGTTGTGGTTCTGCAAACCTTGGTAGGAACCAGTAGCTATTTGAGCTGCTGTTACCATTGTATCATCTAGAACAGTCGTGTCTGAAGTGCAACCCCTAGTCTGTGTAGAACACTTTTATGTTCAGATTTGTGCGCTTTGGACCCATTTTCAGCAATATAAACAGAATAATTCATGGTTAAACAAGTTTTGCATTTTTAAAATAACAAAATAATACATTTTGTGGCCACTGAGGTCTATTTATTCGTAAAGTTTGAACACCCCCATCGGGGCCGGCCCGAGCATTTGTGGGGCCCTAAGCAGGTTTGGCCCCCCATAATTCCTAGGCTTGATTATGTTATTAGCTTACATCATACAGGTTTTTTTATGTTAACCTTACATTAGTATCAAACAACACAAAGGATCTAATCAATTAGCATTTTAAAACGCAGCGTGTTATTTATGTGTGGCATATTAACTCCTTTTTTAACGGGGCGGGCCTGTGAACAAGCCCCCGAACCGTGAGAATAAACTTCACGGCACTAACGCTGGTCTTCACCCGTGTGTCACACGTCATGTGATCATGAATTAGGAGATCATTTTGGGATGCTGCTGTGAAAAAGCGAGGTGCTAACCGGAGAAGCTTCTGCCGCTCACACTTTGACAATGGATTGTGTAAGAACAGAAAAAGCTAGAAACACACTGATTCTTGCTGATGTAAGAAGTGAGTCTACTCTTTCTTTTGGTAGTTTTGGTGTTTACATGATCATAGAGCACAATGACTGTTAAAAAAACAGTTAAAACGCTCAAAAGCGCTGGCAGTCAGGGCCTTTCTGATCAGAGAACGGCTGGCAGTTAACGAGTTAATTCAATTATTTCAAAGTAATGTGCGAAGAAAGAAAAACACAAAACTTTGGTTAAACAATTTAAATTTTGGGAAAGATATATGAAATGCGAAATCACTAAAAAGTGAAACCAAATTACACTAAAGAAAAAAATACATCATTCATTTTCCATGTGTGATGTAACTGGGTTTGTATAATTTAAAGTTATTAAAAAATTTTTTTACACTATCCTGGTGCTCTTAGGAGCCCTCTGGTGGTGTGGGGCCCCAAGCAATCGCTTAACTCGGGTATGCCTTGGGTTGGTTCCGCCGCCAGACCCAGACATTTCCACCCACACAGGAGCTCTCCACTGGAGATTTTCTGACATGGTTGTAGGTGGAAACCAAACCACCACAACACGTTCACCTGAATCTCTCTTCTTCTCCCATTTCAGCAGGTCATCTTCCCCACATCCAGACTCCTAAATGGTTTCTGTCATGTGATTGGCTGGCTACACACTTGTGAGAATGAACCAGCGTACCTGTTACTGGTTCTTAACAGGATGTGATGCATTTAAACACATTAGTATCAGAAATATTACAGCAGCACAATCGAATATAACAACAAAAGTTGTTTCTCCTTTACAGAAATAACAAACAGAACATATCTCACCAGTGAGGATGATACACGGTAAAATCTTGACTATATTTTTATTTTCATCAAGTTTTCTAAAATATCCGCAGCACTTCAAAGAAAATCACGTCACAGGGAAAGTCCTAGACGATGACGTCCTTATGCCCCCCCCCCCCCCCCCCCAAAAAAAAACAGTTTTAAACACATAAAAGAGATGAAAGCAGTTTGCTCAGTTGAAGTAAACAATTAGGTTTTATTGATAAGGTTGTCAGAAGAGTCTGGTTTCAGTGAGTCATCCTCTGATAATACTGATTTGGTACATCATGACATCCAGAACGAGTCTCCTCACAGTGAGAGGGATCCATTACTGCTACTGCTGTTGGGACTTAGGACAGAAACAATCTGCTTCCAAACGAACAAAAGAGAAAATAACAATAAAAACAACAGAAGTAAACATGAAAACCAACAAACTTTGGACTGATATTGTAGATAATGGAGTATCCGAGTGCCACAAAACTCTAGAGTAATAAGAGCAGCTAAAGGTTTCGCACATTAACAAGCCACTTCCTCTTAGAAATATAAAACTCGATATTCTGAACAATATTCTACTGTGCTGCATAAAGGTAAATCTATACACTGTACATCGAAATATACTTCGAAAAAACAGATTTCACAGTTTTAAAGACTTTATTTAAAGTATAAACTGCTTTTAAAACACCTCATTATTACATAAATTACTCTTTTTTATTGTATTTTTTGTGGGTGACTATTATTTCCCGTCAGCAAACTTGAAATCATACAAAAAACCCAAAATGAGCAATTATTACATATTTTACAAAAGAAAAAAAATCCATTAATGTTCATTTGGAATAGAACCGGCGACTCATTCATGATTGTCATATAGTACTAAGAATAAATAAATAAAAAAGAATCAAATCAAATAAATACTAACTTAGCATGTTTTGCCAGACTCTGTGAGCGGTGTGTGTGTGTGTGTGTGTGTGTGTTTGATCGTTCTGTACAGAAGTGCCTTGGTGAAAATCTCACAATTCTACCGCGACTGAAACGTACAAAACTACGGCATCTACGGTATACGCAACATCCTGAAGGTTTAGTGTATTCTGACACGTACGTAGCGATATGATTCTTCTCCCCCGTTGCAGACATCACTCATTTTTTACTTTTCCTCGAGTTCGTTAGAAAGGACGCCTTCATCCCGTGTGTGTGTGTTTCTGTGGTGGATGATGGGAGGCCTGAGACGGGGAGACGCTGTATGCTGTCGTTTAGGATTTCTGCCTCGGGTGTGTGGCGGTAGCGGCTGCTCTCCGGACTGGCTCCGCCTCCACTTTGGTCCCTTTTTGCCTTCAGTGTTTTTGTTTTAATCCAGAGACGGCTGAGCCTCCATCCCGGAGCTCTCCTCCACCGCACGTTCAGCTCTCGGTGTGACCCAAAAAATATGGGCGAAAATATCACTATCTTTTTTAAAAAGGGGAATCTTCTTATTTATTAAGCAACAGTTCTTAAAGTTCTTAAGTGCTTTTTTTTATCAGTCGTTCAAAGTTTTTTCCAAAAAAAAAAAAGTTTGACTAAACTTTATTTATTTTTTGCCTGTGGCAGTAAAATGAATATGTTTTTCAGAGAAGTCATTCTGTTTGAAAAGTCCCTGCAGCGTTCCACGAGTAACCCCGTTTGTTGGTTATTTCTCCGTAGGTTTTAGAGGAGTAAGGAGGCTGGGTAGGAAAAAGGGACAGAACCTAGAGACGTTCGTGTGGGCTGTTACCTCCTGCCCATCTCGTTCTGTCTGAGAAACTGGATGTTGTTGCTGCTGTCGGCCAGTTCTGGGTACTGCTCCACGGGCAGTATGTAGTAGCCGTCGTAGCCTTGTACTCTGCCCGTCGTTAGGAGCTGCTGCCTCTCCCCTTCAGTCCAGAGGCGACCACCTCCCTTCCCGTCCCTTGCACGCTGCTGCTCCTTGGCCCAGGCCCCCGCCAGGGCCCTTTGCCTGGCCAGCTCCAACAGTCTTACCTTCTCCTCATCCACTACATCCACAGCGAGGCCGTACCGCACGCTCAGCACCAACGACGGAACGGCAAACTCCACCGTCACCCCTCTCCTCGAGCGGCCGCTCACTGTCACGTTGATGCCGCTCTCCAGTGACTTCCGCCCGTTCGTGAGCCCCAGGGCTAACAGGTCGCTGTCAGCAGAGCCTACTTTCACAAAGTAGTGACAGTCCTTCCCGTCCTGAGTGTAATGAGTGCCTTCCAGGTATTGGGCACCATTGAGCACCAGAGCTATTTTGCGGCTGTCGTCGCTGGCCAGAGGCGACACGCCGGCCACCACCCGGCCTTCCTTCAGTGCCAACATTACGCCCCGGCCGATAATAGGAGTGCTGGTGCCGAACCAATGGCCGGGTTTGTCCTTGCGTCTGCGGCGCTCCTTGTTGAGCAAACGACCCTCGAGGGCCATGAAGGCCTGGTTGTGGCGCTCCGCCGCCTGCTGCACACCGGTGATGAGCTAAAGGAGACAGATAAAGACAGCTCCGTCACACTGTAGCAGAACACGGTGGAGCTAGAGGAAAGTTAACAAGATGCCTTTTTAACCATTACGACATCAGTTTTAGCAGAAAAATGGTAAACATGGTGCTTCACCGACCGTACCTGTCCGTTCTCACAGTGCTGGGTGGCCTGCAGCTCGTACGGTGGCTCCACAAAGTAGAGCGAGTGTCGAGGGAATCCTGGGATTATGTTGCTGAGCTGGAAGCCAAACATCACCAGCCAGCTCTTCACATCTGCAGCAGCAAACAAGAACACAGCCTGCTGAGCGACAAAAGTTAATCTCTGAAGAAAAATGGCCACAGGTTTCATCCCAAAACACACCGATGGGAATGAAGGGAGTTTGGATCGTGTTGTGTAGGTTGTGTTGTGACCTCCAACCAGAGCTGGGACCAGGTCTCAGGTCTTCCTACACAAGTCCTGAAGTATTGAGTCAAATCCGATTCATAAACTTTGATATAGATTTCTTTAGACGTTGTTTGAGAAACTATATGATTTATTAGTGTAATAAAACCTAATTGAATGTTTAAAAAAAAGTCAAAAATAAAAAACAAGTCCCCCACTGCTTACACACACACACACACACACACACACACACACACACACACACACACACGTGCGCTGATGGAGACCCCACAGCCAACATAGCATGGTACAGCTTAGCCATTAGCAGAGGCTGATTCAAATTCAAGGTAATGTAGAGTTTTATCCTGAAGAGGGCGCCACACCAGCAGTTTTAAGTTGAATATTTAAATTTCAAACATGATGCACTAAAGTGCCGAAATGATGACTACACATGTTTACAGCTCAAGTAGACACTCGCTTATACAGTTTTTCAGCACCAAAATTTGATCAGGGGGTGACTTGCTCTTTAAACAATCTCACACAGAAGCTGAACTTAACATGTAAACAAAGCGCCCTTTAATACCACGTTACCTGTGACGTAGTTTTTGACATCCAGCATGTCGCTGAGGGGGTTGTTGTTCTTGAACATGTACAGATTAAACGGAGAGAGATCCTTTCCTATCTTGGGCCACATGCTGTAGTCGGGAGACGTCCACCGTCCAGCCAGGACGTCGTAGTCCCGCTGGGTGAAGTGGACCAGCTTGGTCAGAGGGTCGTACAGACCGCCATGGAAACCAACAACAAGTTGAAACTCTGGGTTGGAGTCGAGGTACACTTCACCGTAGGCCGTGTACTGCACCTGGAGAACATAGTTAGCTAATGGTTCCACCTTTCTGAGTCTGAAACCAGAACTACTGCTCCACATCTACAGGTGTTCGTGTTTTACCTGTTTGATCATCTGCCCGTTGCTGCTGAAGACTGCCAGCGGGGTGCCTGTGTTATCAGAAGCTATGTAGTATTCCTCTCCACTGCTCACCTCCATCGCAAACAAGTGACCCTAGAGATGGTTTAAAACGCCCAACTTAGCTCAGATTAAAACGTGCAGCTTTACATTTATGTAGGCCACAGAGTTTATTTTGACTCATACATACATTTGTTCAGTAGTATGCAAACATTTAGATGTTTTAAAGCCAAACTGTCTTTTGATTAAAGTGACAAAGGACATTTGTTTACTCTACTATCTGTGACTGCACATAAAGCATTGTAGAAAAAAACTAGCAAAAAAAAAAACAGCTGTTAAGAGGCGTCCATGCCTTTTAAAGTCACAATATGCAGTATGATGACCACAGCAGTGGCACCCCTAAGGGGTGGTCAGGGGTGGCCATGGCCACCTCTAGAAAATTGCTGCACGCCCAGATTGCCGTGTGAGAAAACGGGGAGTGATCCTGTGCACAGACTGTAGTACAGTATTCATCCTCGCCTACCTGTAGATCATAGTAGAGTGATGAGATGTCGGAGCTGGAGTGGTTGAAGATGTGCGTCACCCTGGTTGGATGGTTGAGGTCGGCGTAGAAGAACTGAAGGTGCTGACCCATGCTGTTCCTGGTGGACACCCTGCGGCCCAGCCCGTCGTAGTGGTACACCACGCTCCAGCCTCCAGGGCCTCTGTTGTAGGCCCTCAGGAGCTGACCTTTGGAGTTATAGTCAAAAACGTCTGTGCCCCGCTGGCTGAGGAAGCCGTCCTCGTCCAGGCGGTACTGGACGTCTCCCAGACGGGTAATTCGGTCTCTGAGGTCGTAGCGGAGGGGGAGAATTCGAGCACTGTTTCCGGGATTCAGCAAGTGGAGGTTACCGTTGAGGTCATAGCTGTAGCGCCACGTAGACCAGTCATTCACCTGGATAAAACATCCTTCAGTTATTTTCAGCTGCGATTTTACCCATAAGCTCCCCCCAGTAAGGGTGACTTCAGACAAAACCCTCTATCGAATGATGGAAAAGTAAATGTTTCAATCACCTTGACACCACTGAGCTGTCCATCTCCATCGTAATCGTAGCGGTATTGAGTGGTGTTGGCGTAGGGCCCAATCTTCAGCTCCCTCTTCACCACCCGCCCCATGCTGTCGTACTGCACCGTCATCCAGTACATTAGTGAACGGAATATCTCATACTGGACCTCCTTGATGCGCCCATGGGTGTCGAAATGCTTACTCAGCGTCATTACGGCTGTGGTGATGATTTGGTTGATGTCGTAATAGATGACCCCGAATTTTCCAAAGTGCTCCACCTTTAAGGGAATGTTTAAAGTAAAGGTGAGCACTCAGAAAGGCACTTCAACTAAATAATGCTAAACATGTGTGCACCTTTCCGGAGATCTCGTCGTATCGGTAGAGGTCAACAGGAAGTGGCGTCTCACTGATGACGGGCTTCATGCTGGCGATCCGGAAACTATTGTCATGGTAGGTGTAGTCAAACCTGGCGTTCACCATCCCCTCCTCGCTGAAGCGGTAGATCTGCTTGTCGATGAGTGGGCCCATTTTGCGATAGCGGATTGTGCAGGAGAAGCCCCCGCTCTGCAGGTTGACCATCTTTAGCACACCAGCCGTCTCGTCGTATCCAAAAGTGACCACGGTACTGTCGTACACGATCTCTGACAGCTTGGCCAGCTTGCCGTACTTGTAGAGGACGCGACGGCCGGTGCCCAGGTAGTGCGTGGCCTGGGGTCTGCCATCCTCGCTGAAGTCGTGGATGATGGAGGCGTTGCTCTCCGGAGGGTTGTACATGTTGCGAATGTAACCGACGGACACGTGTGTGAACATGGTGTGGTGAGCGACGCTGGGCATGGTGACAGCTGTGACCCGACTCGAGGCGTCGAACTCAAAGACGTACTGTCTTTGGCTCTGAAGGAGCAGCACCATGGACTGGAAGAGAGAAGAAAGTAGAAGTACAGATTAATATAACACTATTATGAATGGATGACTTCCCTCCTGTGAAATAGCACCAGAGGTAATTTGCTCTCCCTCGACACATGCGCACCTTCATAACCATAAAAGTGATGTATCATTTCACTCAGTTCTAAAATTCATATTACTGATGCTTTTGGCTTCCTTGGCGCGGCTTGACGCTACGGCTCCGCTGATGATGGATGGACTCACTTTATCCAGGTAGCTGTAGCTCCACACCTTCCCGTCCACAAACGAGCGAGACAGGATGCGACCCTGAGAGTCAAACTCGGTCTTCTCACTCATGCTTCCCCTCTGCAGGCCGACCAGCTGTCCGGTGGTTGAATAGGACACGTTGACTACAGCCAGGCTGCTGCTGGGCAGCCACATGGCCGGCCGGCCCTGAGCGTCGTACATGATGCGCAGCGTGAACTTGCGGTGGTCGTCGTAAATCTTCTCCGTTCGGGTGTTGCGATCGAAATCAATGGAGAGAAGATTGCGACCGTGAGCCTGAGGAAAAGAAAGCAGGGATTTATATGTTCACGTGTTCAAGTGATGCACGCACGCGCGGCTGATCTTTGACCAAAACCGGCTAAAACTCCATCATTTCCCAAAAGTAAAGGATTACCCTCAGCTTCCTCCCAAACACGGTGATCTTGCCCTTGGTTTGCTCTTTGCGCAGACGCCACTCGATGGAGTTCAGGCCGTTGTCTGTGGGCAGGGTGATGTTTCTCCGACCAATCGTGGGACTGACAGAACCTGCCAGAATGTGGGGCTCGGTGTGGAAGCTGATGCCCATCCCGTTGGCGTACATCACCCTCAGGGTGCCGTTGTTGCACAGCTGATAGGTGTTCCTCACCTGGTCTGTAGGAGGGGAGACGAACACATCATTTAGTGTTTTTGTCAATCCATGATTTGGACTCAGCTGATCCAGTGAGATAGTAAGCACCATCCTAACACCCGTAGACTTCCATTCAAGCCTTCACCACCAAACTAAACCCAACCAACCAATCAGAAATGATCAGATTAAACCACCACTTCTCGACTATCGGATGGAAACGGAAGATTAGAGTTAAAAAGGCTCGCGTCAATAAGAACAAGATCATGTCCATAAAGCTGATGTGATTCCCGATTACTTCCATCAAAGTGAAATATACTCTGACTGAAACTATTCAGGCGAAACAGACGGCCGCCGCACAATCTCTTTATCTTTACAATTTAATGTCTTTCTCACAAGAATAGAGACGGATAAGCCCAAGCCTCATTCGGAGGCTAATTTTCCTTCTGATGTCTGAAAACAGGCGGTGACAATGGAGGAGATAAAACTGTTTTGGGCTCAGAATTATCCACAAGATGCTATGTTTGGGGGGGGGGGGGGCATTTACGAAAAGTGAGAGGATCGGGTGTTTTTATTTTATTTTACCCGCCCGACTCCCTGCCATAAACGACAGTAATCCATAAGACCAATTTGTAATAAAGCTCCAGGCACATTTTAACAATGCTTCAAACAGAAAAGTGCAGCTTTTTTTTTCCTTTTCCCACTGACTTGGCAGCACCAGCCTTTAGATAAATCTTCTCTGCACTCTGTCTGAGCAACCTCATAATAAAACACAGGCGAGGTTGAGGGAAAGACAGAGAGGGGGTGAAACGAGAGCCCGAGGGCCGCTGAGAATTCACTGCGCGGGAGTTAATGAAGAGAGCAAGGAATAGCGCAACGAGAGAGGGATGGTTAAGTGAGTATGTCAGCTGAAACCCACACAGAGGAGAGGAAACCCTAAATGACTTACAGCTCTGCGAACAACTCGGCTCCAACTGCAGGTGGATCGCTGACTACGTCTACAATCCGCCACACGCGGATCACCAGAGCCCGGTTCAGGCTGGTGCCAACGCCGCTTGAACCGGTCAGGGGAGAGGAGACAATTATTCTTCCTTCTCCTCTTTTCTAAACACTCCAAATAAGCTCAGGGATCATGGGGACCGGATGAGAGCTGTTTTTGTATGTCAGTGTGTGTGTGTGTGTGTGTGTGTGTGTGAGAGAGAGAGAGAATGAAGTGAAAAGCTTGAGGGATGAGGAGGATTCACTCGACGCGAGTTAATGAATTTCACTGTGATGACTTTCAAAAGCTGGATGACCCAGCTGGGATTAGCAACTACATATTGGTAATTTTATTCCATGAAAAAGACCAGAAAAGGGGAGGAAATGACTGGATGTGGAAAAATAACCTCCTGGAGAATTCTGATCACTCGTTCTGGAAGGAAACCCTCGACTGGTTTGGGTTTTGTACCTTGCACCACGGTGTACGAGGCTTCCACCGAGGACAGGTTGGTGATGACGGTCACATCGTCGTCTCTGCTCGAACTCTCAATGTCGATGTTGATGGAACGCTCGATCTCCCGGTGGAGACTGGTCACCATGCCCGTTGGGTAGGTCACGTTGGTCAGCCGACCTTCACTGTCGTACCTGGACAAGTGGAAGATCACCCACACTTCAAATCAGACTTAACTAGAAAGGATGGCCACAAGTCTGAGCAGAGGAGTGGACTGTAGTTTTGAAAGCTGACATCAGGGGGCAGTAGTGTATCGCGACTAAAGCCAAAGGAAACCATGAATTCTAACATTCTAGATTCCACACTCACGTTGAATCTGACTTGGAGAGAGAGGGTCTGGGTGTGCACGTGTGTTCAGATCTAACACAGACTTACTGGTAGAACGTCGTCCATCCAGTTTCATCAGCTTTGGTAGCCAGGAGGCCCGTGTTCCCACTGTAGCCCATCAGAGCCACCTCCTGGCCCATGGCAGAGACACTCCGCAGACCCCCGGTTGGGTCCAAACCCAGCGTCACCACTTGATTCTCGGGCAGCAGCACCAGCCGGAGCAGGCCGGCTCCTCCGCCCTGACCTGAGCTGTCCCGCCTCACCTTGACGGTGTTGTTGCAGTTATCCACCAGCATGGCCAGCTCTCCATCAGGACCATAGGTGAAGTTGTAAAGTGGCTCGCCCGTCACTAAGCTGACCGTCTGGATGTGAAGCCCCTCCCCGTTGAAAACGTACAGCTCCTGTTCCCTCGGCGACGCCACCTCGTGCTGCGCTGAGCCCGCAAACCCCACGCTGGAGACAGCTGGGCCGGGCCGGTTCGCGCGCACAGCTCTGATGCGGATGTTGTTGAGGTCAGCGATGAAAAGCGTTCCATCAGGGGACACGGCCAAGGAAGTCGGGGAGTTCAAGCCGGCGTCGGGGGCGTAGCCGTCATCCCCGTAGAAACAATTGCAGTTGACGTCGTTCTTGCAGTCGCAGTCGGAGGCAGCGCCAGCCAGGAGGGAGATTTCTCCATTAGTGTTCACCTAAGATGGAGGAGCAGAGGAAGCAAACACAGGTAAGGTTACAGAAAGAACGAAAAAACAGCTGGACCAGACGTGCTGTCCGTTCTTGTAGCCCAAATTGTCGTTAGGAAAGCAAAATGATGCCAGAACGTACCTGCCTGACTCGGTTAATCTTTTTCTCATCAGTCTCTGCGATAAAGAGGGTACCGGAGTGGGACAGGGCGATGGCGGTGGCGCTCTCCAGGGCTGCGTGGATAGCCAACTTACTGAGGCTGTAGTCGATGCCTGGAACCTGACAGTGCATGGGCCGGCCTGCTATGATGCTCACCTTCAGGAAACGACACGAAACCACCCATCAACGAGGCTGATGTCATCCCACAGATGGAGAAAACTTAGCGCTGTTTTTAAACAGCAGATAAAACTTTCAATAATGAAGTTAGATAATAGCAAGTTGAATTTCCTTGGAACTAATTAATCGGTTAGTTTGTCACCACTGGAAAACTCGCAGAAATTGAACTTTTGCTCCTACATTGGCTGGAAAAAGCCTAATTGGAACCAAATCTTGTCAGAACCCTTCAGTGAGTGCCCACCCTTGGGGGGTTTGGAGCGAGATCCAGCGGTGTTACAGACCTGGTGGTTCTCGGTGATGCGTAATATGACATTGTTTTCCAGGACATAGAGAGAGTTGTCCATGGGGTTCACCGCCAAGTCCGTGGGCCACTCTAGACGCACCTGGTAGACAGAGACAGGAAGGATACAGGAGACTATAAAGATGCTGGGGGGGGGGGGGGCTGTTCACATAAGCTTCTTCACTTTTTAATGAAGAGACTCCATATAAACCTCACCCTGACCCTCTGGCTGGCTTGTTTCCCAACCGTCATCGCAACAGCTCAGCACTCAGGGCTCCTATATCATCATCTATCACACCGTCACCTTTCGTCTCTTCTCCGCTGTCTCCTACCTGGCTGACGTCCATGCTGGTGTCACAGCTCAGCGGTCGAACGGCCGTCAGATCGTTGGCGCCCAGCAAAGTCGAGATGATGCCATTCTGGTCCACCTTGCGGATCATGGTGGCATCCACAAAATACATCAGGCCATTTTTATCCACCGCTATACCTGTCAGCACAGAGACGAACACCACAGAGTGACGACTCGTAACTCAGGCGACCCGCAGACATTTTAAGTCGATTAAACTTCCGTCTTTCCCGCCGCTGAAAAAGGATGGCAGCCCTGGCAGCTGGATGGCTCCGTGCATCATTGAGCGAGCGGGTACTCGGTGACGGAGCGGGGCGCTGAACCATTGGGAAGTGTTAGTTTTTAGGGGGTGAGTCATCGAGATGCAGAGTGGAGCTCGCCCCCGTTGTCAAGAACGGGGAATGTTGTTTTTCCTACCCAGGATTTTCCAAGTCCAGCTCACTTTACACGACCTGAGTGTCCTCCAGCATTTGTTTCCACCTTTCTATTTTATTTTTCCACTGTTTACAGAAAAGGAATGGTTGGTCTTGTTGGCCTAACAGGGAGCAGGAAGTGCTCAAGGCGGCCGTGCACAAAAATATCTCCAACATGCGGTCGGACGCAAAAGAGCAGACGGAGGATAAAACAAAGGGCAGGGAGCGGATGTGAGGAGGGATGAAAGGAGAAGAAAAAGAGGCAAGATGCTTGTGTGTGAGACAGGTGAGAGCCAGTGAATGCTGCCTTCTGTCTGATACACACACCATAAAGAGACACACACATGCACACACACATACGTCACCGACAGGAAATGTTAAAGTGTGACATCCTTGACAGTTTGGTGTCACAGTGTTGGAAGATCCAGTGATCCACAAAAAATAATTCCATTATAAGTTCAGCGTTAACCTGGTTCTGCCTCCGTCCTGCTTTTCTTACACAAGCTAATGGAAATCTGAAGCTCTGTAAATTCACACGACTTCAGAAATTAACTGCAGATTCGAAGTGCTTGTCCAAACACTAAAGTCTGAGTTCCACGCTCATTTTGATCGTTATCATAAGACCGTAGAGTGAAATGAATGTGATCTGAAGACGAGGGTGAACTGCCCTCGGGCTGGAGGCTGTACCTTTGGGGCTCATCAGCGTAGCCTCTGTGGCTTTCCCTCCGTCGCCACAGCGCTCGTCAAAGGGTAAGCACTGCTCCCCTGTCCCCGCCACCACCTCAGCGTTGTCCGACAGCAGCCGCCCACCCGTCAACGAGCGGACCCTGTAAATCCGCCTGGAGTTGGTGTCGGAGAGGAACAACGATCCGGATACTGGATCCACGGCTAGAAAGTACTTGTGGGTTGGATTATTACTGTCGTAGGAAAAAAAAATGCTTTTATTTGTATATTTTTTTACTTTTGAAGATGGTATGAAACACATTTTGGACACTTGCAGCTTTATTGTACTCAGGATCTCTCACCTGTGCCTGAAATCTTTGTTCCTTTAAGAGACAAAAGTAGATAAAAGCAGAACAAAACAAATGTTAATGCACACAGTCTGAAGAGAGTTACCTACAGAGAGGAACACAAAGCCGGCTGTGGTGCGAACAACAAAACGTAAATGTGTAAAAGCACTCTGGAGAAATTATTTCAAGTTTAAGTCCTGCCATCCCCCGTGTCTCACCTCATTCTTATTGTACAACACTTCTACACATCATGTCTTTAGCGCTCTTCCTGTCCTGCTCACTCCCTCATCTTTTACTCTGTCAGGATCTACAACAATCAATACGCCTCTGCAAGCTGCTTGATTTATTATTCTTACATTTCCTTTTCTTCCTTTTCCACGATCAATTAGAGGTTTTACCTTAACTCCAGGATGCCAGTTGTGTTCATAGAAGGGTAGACCCGGCGTACATAGTTGAGGTCCCCGACGTACAGGCTGCCATCGTTTCCCATCGCCAAGGCAACTGGTGCCAGCAGCTTGTTTCCGTCGGCGAGGCCGTTGCAGCTCGGGCACGAGATGCTGCGCCTGCGGCCGTTTCCCATGATGCTGGTGACCACTGGAGGCTGCTCCGTCACAAAGACGTTCTCACCGCTGCCTTTGTGGAGGATGCCTGAAGGGATCAAACACAAGTCATCACTCTGGCGGAGCTGGAATTGGTTTGTCTCACGATGTCTCACGAATCACACGACTGAGTCTTCATCGGATCTACAGCTGAATAACCTTTGTAGTCAACCTCATTCAGAAAGGCCACCACAGCCAACTGGCATCAACAATGGAAGCAGCTCAATCAACTTGACACATATTGGGCTACAATGTCATGTGACGGGAGCCGAGAGTCATTTATAACAGATACGTTGAGTAGCTACAAGCCCAATTTGAAAATACACAACTCAAAGGTCCAACCCTCTTTTTTGTGGCTCCTCCCACTAAGCCACACCCCCAGAGTACAGGAGAATGCTGGATGCAACCAAAACATGATCTTACGTTTTAAAACTGAAGTTGGCATTTTTTCCGCCATAATTTCTAACATAACACACAACTGTAAAGGTATGACAATTTGATACGCTAGCTGGTTTAGCTAGCACAATCCTGCTTCCTGCTCCGAGTAGCCCTAGTGTCTGTTGTTATTTCACTGTGGTTAAACCAAAAATGAAACTTATCTCCTCACAGTGTTCGTACTTTTAACACCTTAATCTTAATCTGCGGAAATGTCTCCCCAGCCTTCATTAGTGTCCACAGGCGCGATTCATTTCTAAATAATGAAAAACAAAAAACAGCTGTGTTCATGATCTAAAACATGCAGACGGAGTGGCCTGCAAGTCTGAAGTTGCAAGTGGAATATTCTGGCCACATGGTGCGATAGGGGCTGGGTGAACTTTCATTAACCCTGTAAAGGGTTAGCTTAGCACATAACGGCTCAAAAAAAGCATCTAAAATAAAAATGCATTGAAAAGTTTGCAAAGTATTCCTCCAAAAGAACGTTAAGCCTTTAATTAAAACCTTTTTTTCTTCTTCCTCAATTTGATCCTAGGTTACTTTTTGGACCCCCTCCCCCCCAACACCACCAGTGGTAGTTGATGCTGATTGGTTGATGCCATTTTAGTTGAGAAGGGAATTAAAACTAGGTGAGATGGCACAAAAACTTCCTGTGAAAATCCTCACCGTTAAGTAATGCAGGTGCCTGACAACAAAATGTGAACTACAGGAAGCATTGTGTGGTCTGAACCCTCCACCCCCACCCCGCCCCACCCCACCCTGCTCCCCCTAAGAGAATAGCACATTGGGTGAGATATACAGTGTTGAAAGCCTCCAACACACAGGGAACCTGCTAAATATAAACTGCAGGGAAAAGCTGTCTGGAAGTCTGTGCTCACTTGTGGGTAGAAAACAACAACACGACGTGTAGATGAAACGTACCGCTGCGCGTGTTGAGTATGTGGTGCTTGTCGAGCGACCAGCCGCCCAAATTGGTGGGATCAAGTTCGTAGCCCTGCAGAAATGTTGTCCTCTTCTCCCACAGGATCAGACTCGCACACGACTCGTACTCGTAGCCCACCGACACTACGAGTCAAGACAGAATGACAACAATTAGCAAAAGTCATCAAGAAATTCAATTACCCAAAAAATCCAAAAGACCATAAAAACAGAAAGGAATTTGCAAAACTTCGTTAGAGTAAAGTCTTACAAGTTCATTTGTACAATAAAATGTGTGATACACAAAAACGCTAGTTAGCACCTGTAGTCAAACCTGCACTCACACCTAACTAACACTCTGTCATGCCGCCAAATCGATCAAAAACCTTGTTAATTGGAAAGGTTGCCCCTGCAGGCTCTGAAACCTTGAGGCCAGGCTGGTTGCAGCTGTGAAACGTCTGCTGATGGAAACATTCAATCACACACACATGCTGCCGGAGACTCGGATGATTTGAATCTGAGCTGCACATACGGGGAATGAGTTGTGATCAGGTAAATAGCGTCAGACTGCTGGGAGAAGATGCTGCATGTGTGTGTGTGTGTGTGTTACTACATCGACTCCCACCTGTGTCATAGCCGGAGCGCTGCTTCCAACGCTTTCTCCAGCTTTACCGGCACCATAAACGTAACATAAATACCTGCACCTGAAATGTTAGAGTCAAATATGCGTGTCTGTTTCACTGCAAAAACATAAAACAGGCGGTTATTCCGGGGAACTCTTGGGACCTGTGAGTGAATGCCGTTTCCCAAACAGCGTGCCCCTGATGGCGTTGGTCCTGGCCGCGGCCCCTGATGACCGCTGCGTCTGAGGCCTGACAGCAGTGTTTGCCTGACAGAGTCGGTGAGTGACTGTGACAGCAGAGTGTAATAGCACCGAGGCTCCCTCGGACTCCGGCTTGCTGCTCTAGTAGTTAACTGCTAACTCCCCCTGATGGCTAACAACCCTTCACTACAGTTACGGCTGGCTAGCTGGACTAAATCCTGGAACAAGAGGCACCTCACTGCGGCCATGCCGCTGTACTTTGAGCAATCTTCTTGGTGTATCATCTCTCTTTCAGGCTTCCTAATTAGCTCCTCTCCCTCGGTCATGGCTGGTGCCCCCTTGTGCTAAACTGTTTGATACGTCCAGCGAGTCGGGGTGAGGGAACTGTCCCTCCTACTCACCAACAGCCTCCGAGAGACCGTAGACTCTCTGTCCGTACGCGTCGGTCTTATCCCAGATGTAGGTGTAAGCCAAGTTAGGTGAGGAGTGGAACCACTTCTGGAAGAGGTGGCCCTCCACAGCTACCATCAGGTGAACCTTCAACAGGCCCATGGGCACCACAGCAGGGGTCATGGTCACCTTGAGCAGGGAACGGTAACCCTGGGTCCGTGAGCTTAGGTAGCACAGCTTTAGAGTCATGCCAGGCACCTCGATCTGCTCATGCAGCACCTGGAAGACAAAGAGAGAGGAGAGAGGGGGGATTATGGGGGATTAGGAAGAGTGGGAGTAATAGGGGTTGCGCTTCCGGTGATGGCTGAAGGACGAGGGGGAAAAAAACAACAAGGGATGAACGAAAGAAACTGGAAAAGAGAAAAGAAGTGAGAGGGAGCTATGGAAGCGGAGGGCGAAAGAGGGAGGGGCTACAAAAAGACAGGTGTACAGGAGAGTGGGAGGAGAGCGAAGGTACCAGGAGGAGGATTAGCCAGCTGCCTGAGGTCAATGGTACTGCACCTGTGTCTCCGGTATGATGGGTTTCTCCCCTGGATTGGAGCTGAAGAAGGAGGAGAGAGGGGATGCAATCACAAGAGGGTCAGGCCTGACGAAGCCACTCAGGTCACAGCCTGGGATCGTGTTTTCTTCTGTCTTAAGCACCAGAGTGTCCATAGCATAAAACTGGCTCCAAGGCAGCCACACGGTGCGCTCCTGGCTCAGGAAGGGTGCACGCTCGAACCGCAGGGTCAGCGAAGCGCCACCGTTAGCTATCAGGTCAAACCTGGAGGGGTTTTTGAAAACAGGATGGGAATGAGGTACAGATGGGGAGCGTTCCGACGGATGAATAGTCATTTGGACTCATACTGTGTCACCGTTTCATTTCCTTCCTGTGTTTATTTTTACTCCGCTGCTTCAGGAACAAATGAACAACAAATCACCTGGAATGAATGTGTCATCATTGTTTTTACAAAGATAGAAACCGAACAAGTCAGCAGCAGGAGAGAGCCGTCGGCTTGGTCTGAAATACAAACAGCTGATGTTAGGATGCATGGCTTCAAAACAGAGGAGGGTTCAGTAAAAACGTTAGAAATTAGCAGAGAAGAAAAAAGGTCACACGCGTGGCAGAACAGCTCTGGCCGAGAGCTTCGAACAGCTAGAAAAAAAATCAGCACCCGGTGACACCGAACAAGTCCAGACAGAGACATCAGAGATGGTGCTCGCTCAAGTCACAAGTCCATGAAACTAATAACGGCTGCTGAAACACAAGGTCTGGTAAATGTTATCAGGAGTGCAAAATACATCTGGAAAGAAAATGCTGTGAGGGGAAAGAGAGAAAGGGGGACACAGACACAAGGGGGGAGGGTCACAAAAGGACAGAACCATCAAATCAGAACTCGAATCCGGAGAGACCAAACAGTTCCTGCAGAAGGAACACAGAGAAGATGAGTGGACTAGATGAGTTTGGATAGGGCTGTTTACGTGAGGAAGAGAAAAAACACACTTTAAACTGTTAAAATGCATCTAATCTGCCTTATTATGCAGAATAAATTATACCAGAACACATAAAATCACCCAAAACATAATGTTTCATCATGAATGCATGCATGAATGTGTTTATTCCTGCATAGTCTCCTTCAGAACATTCACCAACACTCAGGTTTCCTTACAGGATTAGTAATCTAATCTAATCTAATCTAATCTAATCTAATCTAATCTAATCTAATCCAGTAACCTAGTGACATAGCCTTTGCGGTGAGGTAGCTTCCATATTTCTGCTGATAGCTTTTGTACATACATTCCATCCTGCCGAGTCAGCGTGTATCCGTAGTGTGGATAGTTGACGAAAGACACGTTCACCCCCACCAGAGGGGTTCCATCTGTCGTCAACACCTGACCCCGGATTAGCGACGCCAAGCTGGAAGAGGACAGAAAAGACATGGTGAGGGGAGCCGACGTCCATCCATCAGCCCAATCCTCCCCAAACGCCCGTCATCTGATTGGATTAATCTCGCCGTCTTTCAGTCATCCAATTTGCCCATTCACTCATTGCTCCGGTCTTCCATCGCTCATTAATTAGAGACAATCAGCAGCCGCCACCATCAGGATGAGTATGTGTCAGTCAGATAAACGCACCGTGACAAAAGTCAGTGGACTTGTGTACAGGGCTAGAGAAGCTGCATCCATGAGAACACTTTATATAACTTTTAAACATTTCACTTTGATGAGTAATTTCCCCGGCCCTAGTTAACACTGCATCATCTGCTGAGAAGAAAACATCAGGACCACGGACAGCTCTTCAAAGCTCAATGAATCCATTCGGGATTCGTTACCATGTTGAGCCAACCATTCTGGAATCCATTTGATTTCTGTGTAGCTAGCTGAGTATAAAGGCCGGATGTTTTCCACAGCTCATGTATATTCACTTATATGTCATGCTTTAGAGGAGCACGGAAAAGATAAAAGACCATCTCGGAGATAAAAGTTCTTATTTTAAGAACGTTCTGCTGTAGGGGTGTGTGAGTGTTTTGCAAGTGTTAAGGTGCGCGGCAAGTATCAAAGTGACGTCACTGTAGACACCGGGATGCAGGGATCCCAGTACTAACTGGGAATAACGCCTTCTTACTGGACTGTGACTGTTGGTAAGTTCAAAATTCCACCAATGTACATTAAATGGTTAACGGCCTGTGCTGTTCTACAACCCCCACACTCAGTCAGACTCATCTATCCATTCACACACACACACACACACACACACACACACACACACACACACACACACACACACACACACACACACACACACACACACACACACACACACACACACACACACACACACACACAGTCTACATGCTGGCGATGGTTGTAGCCACAGACACAACAGCCGAGGACACAACAGCGGAATTCTCTGGCGGGAGCCGGGATCGAACCCACAACCTCCCGATAACTGGACAACACGTTCTACCTCCTGAACTTCTGCTGCCCTCTGTGACTCACGTGAGAAGATTTAAAAGCTTTAGGAAACTCCCTCACACGCCAAAGTCCTTTACTCTATCTGTAAGTGGTCATAATGTTATGGGTGGCCGTTCTGGCTAACTCTGACGTAACCACTGATGTAACGCAGACCCTCTGAATCTGTAGACTGTACATTATTTAATGTAATTTGAATTTCTCGTTTCAAGCATTTCACGTATAAATCAAAACTCAGGAGGATGTTTGTTACGTGTCGGTGAGTGTGTGCTTACACACACATCCGCTCTGCTCTGTGACCACCACCACTGCTGGATCAGAGATGAATCTACTTCCACCTCTTATTTGAGCGTTTTACTCTGAATGAGGTCTGACTTTGGATGATGTTTGAAAGGCAATCTTGGTTCCCTTTTACCCGATAACTGATTTTTGCTTCTTAAGACTAATTCAGAAAACCAGAAGTAAAAACAGAACAATGTCAGCATCCAAAATGATATGAAATTGTTGATGACATTGTCATTTTTACAAGTTCTGCTACGTTGAGTGTCATTCCAGTTTCTGTTTGCACTTCCTACCGTACCTGGAGTTGAACGGACTTTCCCCAGGGATGATGTGGGTGCTGTCTCTTCCCACCAGCATCTTGACCCGATCATAGAAGGATCGAACTCGTGGAAGGGACATTGGATTCTGCTGGATCACTAGCAGAGGGTCCCGGGAGCCCTTGCACAGAGGACTGTTCTGACAGGGACTTTGAATGCAGCAGTCTGGGTCCATGCAGTCCGTCAGACCATCTGTTAATCAGCAGAAAAAGCCACACAGGAATGTGAAACGCTACCCAAATTTCATCAGCTCTTCATTTACATCCTGAAAGATTTACGTTGCAATCCCTGGTGAATGCCCCTCCCCGGAGAGCTCTGTCTTCTTTCATTGGTTGTTTTTTCCTCATCCTTTTATGCTTTTCTTAAGATTTATAATTTATCTTTGCATGAGGCACTTTTTAAGTGAGGGCTGCACTTAAAACAGCTCTGCCAAAAATCATCAGCTACTCCTCTTAATTTACCTCCTTCATTGTCCTTGTTGTCTGCACAGGAGGTCTCCATGGCAACGCTGCATCCGGGGCCCCTCCAGCCCGTCTGACACTCACAGTGCCAGCTCTGCTGACCCATGGTGCACTGGCCGTTCCCGTTACACAGGTTAGGGCAGCCGTCTGCGCGGAGATGACAGGAAGAATAAAGGGGGAGAGGGTGGGAAAGGAAAGAGAACAGAGTGAAAGTTGTTTTCTAATTAACGGTACACAGATGAGCTGTAACACGGTCTCAGACGCTTAAATGAGCCCACTCTGGAAGCCCGCTGATGCTGTTGGGGGTTCAGGAATCTGTTCTAAGCAGTAGGTCTGTTTTCATGCACATCTTTCCATCGCCATGTCTCTGAACCTGTAGGATGATTGCTAATGCCTGTCGGTGTGAGGACGGAGGTGGACGGATCACTTTATTCACTCAGTGGATAGAACCCCACCCGGTCATCACTCTCTTTCTCCCTCTATTTATGATTCAGTGTAGGTAATGGGATTCTGATGGCCTGAGAGTAATGCTTTCTCACTAGAGAATGAGATTATGTTTGACAGTGTGTGTGTGCGCATATATGTGTGTGTGGCTGTCTATGAACTAATAAACCTTCACTTAAGCTTATGCAAAAAAAAAAAAAAAAACCTACCAGAGTTTAAGGCCCTAGAGCCGAGTAAGTCTGTAACTAGCATACAGCAAGGGCACCCTGAACTCAAGCGTGACTTTCAGGGGACAGAGATGTAGCATTCATAGTAACATCATCTCCTACATCCTGATTGCTTTTATTATGAGTATTCATTATAAATATATATTTCACCTGGGGAGAATGTTGCCCCCCTTGAAGCTATCACCCAACAGAAGTCTGAAACCAGGTTTGGATGCAGTGGGTTTTATCTTCTCAGGCAAATTCTGATTACTTTCACCCAAGACTACAGGTGGTTTTATTAGACAGGGTGTTTGGGACCAATTTAATGTCCGGCGGAGGTGAAATTAATTGTCTGAATGGTTGCCAGGCAACCAGTAGAAGCGGAGGCAACGTTATTATGATTGGCTAAGATGAAGTGTAAAAATGATCTCTATTAAAACGATCAATGGTTGTTTTTACGTTTCAAAAGGGAATCTCAGGTACTGTAAAGAGATTCTTTTTGCAAAAGCTTTTGCTGCTATTAGCTTTGAACAACCTCAGTCTGGAGAAAGAGAGATTAGATCTGAAGCAGTCCATTCAACTTGTTCATCACAAGTAACCCACAATGCATCATGAGGATTTCTGACATATAGGGAGCCTAAGTTACTTCCGCACCACGGGCCCCCGAGCAACAACAAAATTAATGCCAGTCAACGGGGCTAAAAATGTTATTTTCTAACTCCGTTTGTTTTGTTCCGTGGATTTCACATACGATGTCTGTGAATTTTAAAGACGCATTTTGACACCAACAATGTGTTTATTTTCGAACAGGGGGAAACACTATTTTAGGTTTTGTGTGACAATAAGTCCTGGACTAGAAACACGAAAGGGATGTCATCAAACCAGACACGGAGAAAACTGAGGGAAAATGGCTGTAAGTTCAGCAAACTTCCCACAGGAGGAAAGAACCACCATAAATTTGGTCATGTGGTAAGTAGCAGCTACGCTAGGGGAGAGGAGATTATGTGGTGATGTCACATATGCGACGTGCTGATTTCTAGTGTGTAGTCATGCTAATTACGAATATTTACAAGCTGATAAATCTCAAAGTACGTGACTGGCGTGGTCGAAACACCCATCATTACTTTTCATTTAAATTGCAGTACAGCATATGTGTGGTCCAGGGTGTAAGGCAAAGCGGATTAGAAAATAAAGATTTTAGCACCATTGACTTGCTTTCATTTTTTCGTTCTTCCGGGAACCCGTGATGCGGAAGTCTCCTCCCTTTTCGGTCGGCTCATGAGTCCCAGGAAAAACTAAAAAAATGAATGCAAGTGAATGGAGCTAAAATAGCTATTTTCTAATCTGCTTTGCTTCGCGCCCCAAATCACACGTGTTGTACTTCATTCTAAATAAAAAGTAATTATGTATGTTTCGACCACGTACTTCCACGCACTTAGAAAATTATCAGCTTGTAAAATTTTGTAAATGCAACAACTACAATTTAGACATATATATGACGTCACCACAGAATCTCATCTGCCCTGGCGTAGCTGCTTTTTACCACATAAAAAGACTTATGGTGGTTCTGTCGCCCTGAAAGAAACATAGCCATTTCACATTCAATTCAAAGATACTTTATTAACCCAGAGGGAAATCGGATCTTCTCCGTGTCTGGTTTGATGACATCAACTTGGTGATGTTCATTAGTAGTCCAGGACATATTTTCATACAAAACCCAAAATAACTTTTTTTTCCTGTGTTCCTTGCATCAAAATGTAACTTCAAAATTCATAAACATCATATGTGACATCCATGGCACGTAACAAACAGGATTAGAAAATGACATTTTTAGCCCCGTTGACTTGCACTCATTTTTTCGTTCTTCAGGGAGCCCGTAATCTGGAAGTAGGGTGTGACTCAGACTCTCTAACCAGACTCAGACTCTCTAACCAGAGCGATATTCATCTAAAAAGGACTAAACTTAATTATTTTGATACAATTTGATGAACTGGATTTTAAAAAGGGGTAATTGATTGCCTGATTCTATGGTTATTTTGAGACTAGATTAGCATTCAAGCTAGCTACCTGCCGCTCTTCTAGCTCAGTGTGTAGCATCTCAGCTACGTCTGCCAGAATAACCATGAAATATAAAATTAATATTTATATAAAATTTTTAAAACAGTACTTGCAGGAAAAGCTGAAACATGTCTGATTATTGTTTAAAGCCAGCAGAAACTCCAGCTAGTCGTTAGCTTATTGGTTACCATAGAAGGTAGAATTAGCTGGGTTTTGCCCCTACATTGATCTAAGACACACCAGTAGGCTCCAACTTGACTGACAGATAAATTACAGCATCATTCTAACATCTGACACTTGAGTAATAATCAACTGCAGTTTTTCCAGAACCGTTAGTCCTAATATTATACAGTGTTGGGCAAGTTACTTCAAAACTGTAATGCATTATTTATTACTTGTTACCCTCATTTTAAAGTAATTCATTACATTACAATATTACTGATTTTAAAATGTAAGGCATTACACTACTTTTGCATTACTTTAAGTTACTTTCACCAAAACAACTTCAATAAAAATCTGGTAATGTGACACTCAGTGAGCTCATGACATATATGTGGAAGGTGATGTGGTGTCTGAGCTAGGACTGCTGTTAAAAACAGTCAGATATAATAACAGTGCTTTAAAATGATTGTTTATTAAATAAAAGCAACAACAATCTGTACTCTCAGCACGCTGCCATCTTATATTAACTGAGCAGGGAGTGAGGTGGTGGGGGCTCCAAGCCTATATTTGCCTTGGTCCCCAAATGGCTTGATATGGCCCTGGATGTGGGACTGACTTCTGGGGTGATCTGATTCTATCACATGTATAAATATTAAATGCTTATATATTATTGCTTTTCACTGGTAAACATGTGTATTGGGGATAAATCTACCTATTTTTTTCTTTTTCTTTTCTTGGTTTTATTTGAATAATTTCCTGCCCTTTCTCTCTCTAACCTTCCTGCATGCTGCATGTTTTCTCCGTCTTCCAGAAAAAACAGTTTCCTAGACTTCCTACTTTCTAACGATCAGCCAAAGGGATCGTCACATGCGCGACGCTTCAGCAGTAATGAGTTGAAATCACCGGGGCACAGATTATGAACTCAGCTGAGGCAAAGCACGTCCGAAAAGCACAAAATACCAGAGAATATGCGCTGATATGAACGATCGCAAGTGAATTATTTTGTTTTAGTGGAGCGATTTTGTGAATGTTACAGCGGCCGCGTGCAGGAGTAGTTGAGCCGTTACCGCTGCGTCCTCTCTGCCCGCAAAGCTGAGTCCATAAATGACGTCATATATGCAGATACTGGATCTTACTTCAGGTTTCCCGCAATCTGAATTTTTAAGGAACACATCTTGATTCTGGGTTTAAAAATGCATTGTAATTACCGCGTTACTGACAATTGTACCGAGTAAATATTACCATTTTCTTTCCCTGTAATGCCTTACATTACCACATTACAGCAAAAAGCAATGCATTACAGTAATTAATTACTTTTGTATCGTGTTACTCCCAACACTGGTATTATATGAATATGATCATATTCTGATCTGCTAAATGACAGGAAATAATTACTCTAGTTTCCCCAAACTCAACAGGGCATTTTCAGCAGTTTACCTCCAGTCTGTGACAGTAATATCTTTCTCCTCCAGGCCGGTCTAATCGTATTCTTCTCTAAATCAGCCATTTCTTACACCGTGCAATTTCTACATGATCATCCATCAAGGGCAGGGAGAAAGGAGCGATGACCCCCACTGAAGGTGCTTTCCACCACATCACAAAGAGACCCCAACAAAGTTGTCACACTGATTTCCTTTTCAATAAATGAAGTGACACTCTTTTTTAAAGGCGCAGGAGATAGAGGCAAAGACTGATAAAACAATACGCACACACACCAAAAACATCACACACACACACACACACACACACACACCTACACAAACACCCCAACGCGACGCACCTCGGAGATACGGCCCGACATTTCTCACTCAGCGGTGGCGCACCGACGTGGAGTGAGGACGGACAAAATGACCCAGTAAGAGATTATGAATATGAAATGATTTTCCCGAGTCCTGCTCAGTAGATTAATGAACATATTTTCACTCAAGTTGCACCGTAGGATTTTTGCCCTCCAACAAATCGCTGCGTCAATAAAGCCACGCATTATGAATACAAATAGTTCAATAAAAACTGTGGCAGCATCTGAATTATCAGGCATTTTGCCCACAATTGGCGTTTTATTATGTCTCAACCGCTGGGCGATGAGGGAAAGTCAAGGAAGGACTTTTGAGGAGTGAACCCCCCCCCCCCGCCCAAAACAGGGCGCCATCTTGATCTGGGGTGCTGCAGAGGCAGAACAGATTAACACCGTATTATGAAGCAAGAGAGGAATCAAATCAAAGGTTTTATCTTTAATTATTACCATTCCCAGCATCAGGGGACCGCTCATGATGCTGCATTAACAGTCAGGCTGGAATAGATTGTCCCCAAGTATTGAGCTCAGGGAACAAAGGCAGTTAGCAGTGATTGCCTGTTAAATGGAGTTGCCATTTAAAGCAGCCAAATACTTATGAAGCGCCCGGACAGGACGATCCATAGTGGGCATTGATTGGCTTGCCTGGGCAGGCCAGCAGAAGGCTCCTCTCTCTTTAATGTCAGGACCCAGTCAATACCCCCCCCCCCCCCCCCCCCCCCCCCAATACTAAGTAGAATAAAGTGGGATTTCAGAAACTATTAAGCCCACCCTCCTCAGTAATGTAGTTGGACTCTGATGAAATCCCCTTAAAAAGGAGAAGAAATTGCCTTGGGTTATGGGTCAGCACACACACCCTTGTTTGGTATGCAGTGTGTGTGGGCTCGGATGGCAGGGTGTATATGACTATGTGAGGATGGGGGAGCAAGACAGAGCTAAAGGCAAGCAGAGAGAGAGAGAGAGAGGATGGGAACAAAGAGTGAAGAATAAGAAGAAACTAAGACATTCTAGTAAAAGAGTTGTCTCCATCCCCTCTGTCTGCTCTAAAGGTCATCAAGAAAAGGTTACAGCTATAAATCCACCGTCACATCTTTTACAGAACCACTTCTAAAATAAACGCCCACTCACCCACTCCTCCTGTTCTTAACAAGCTACCTAAGAAATTAAAGACAGCTCTGGATCACATTTAATGTCCAACTGTCTCCTTTGGACTTCCTCTTCTACTGTGCGGTCTCCCGCTCTGTGTCTCGCTCCCTCTTTAACCCTGCAATTTACCTTTTCTCTGGACTAGCTCTTCATAAAACAATGAGAGCTATTCCATTAAGCGTGGAGGGTGAGAGGACACTCTCAACGGTGCTCCAGGGACCTGTACTGTCAGGCAATCGTTGCCGCTCCATGCAGCCCGACAGAGGTTCAGCTGCGGAGCTAGCTAATAAGCAATCTTGCTGAGCTTTTGAGGCAAGTCACTTTAGAGCTGCAGTCCTCTCGGTTTGCCTTGATTTGTTAACCTTAACTGTTACTCTGCTTGTTTTGTATGATCTGACTGCCTGACCTGGATTTTAGCATGTATTTAATGAATTTTTTGGTCATTTTGAAGTGCCTCTGCGTAAAAGTCTTCTTGGTTGTAGACGGCTTCCTGAGCAGACTATGTTTGGAGAAATTGGTTTTCTGTCTTGGGGTGTCAACTTTCAGGAATTGAATTAAGGAACGTTATTCGGGAACGGCAGTGCGGCGGTGGGGGGCTTGGTACATTGTCTGAGAATTGTCGGAGAATTTCAAAAGCGTAACAGACCCTCATGTGGTGATAAAAAACAATCACAGATCTACAGGTGTTGGTCCTACAGTGTGTGCTGTGTGGCCACACAAAAAAAGAAACTACACACAAACTGATTTCACCCACGAACTTCAGGGGTCAGACAGGACATCTTGCAAAACTTTTCAAACGAGACCTTGGAGTAAACTAGCATTGCATTGAAGGACCTCCCTTGCTACGTGCAGCTTGCTGTCATCAACTGGCCTTCTGATTGGCTACACTTCACATTCAACAGTTTGTCTTTGGGGAACACACACACTCCATATTCACAACATAACAATCAAACATGTTGAATGTCCCTGATTTGACTTATACTGAGCCAGGATCCTCTGGAGGTTTCTTCCTATTAAAAGGGAGTTTTCCTCTCCACTGTCGCTGCATGCTTGCTTAGTATGAGAATTGCTGTAAAGACTCTTGACACGAGTCAGTGACTCGATGCAGTCTGCTGGGTTCCTTATGTAGGAAACTTTTTACTGATTGGCTTAATGAACTGACCTGGATTGTTTACTTTGTGAGGTGCCTTGAGACGACTCTTGTCATGATTTGGCGCTATATAAATAAACTTGAATTGAATTTGTGATCGAAGCTGTCCAAACGTGCTTTTGAGTGAACCGGAGCACTCAACACGACACACACTGTGTGTGATAAGATAGTCTTTGGGCAATGGGGTCCACCCATAAGATTCTCAGAAGGGCAGAATCAGGTCAAAAACCTGCAGAATTATTTTGCGTGTGAACCGGACCTGAATCAGAGGTATCTAAAACATAATTTTTAGCCGCCTCTTAACTGCTAATCAAGAATGGTGGAAGTTTAGCCCACCAGCACAGACTCTTAATGCAGACTGACACTGATGGTATTTTTACTATAATGTGAGGCCAAACAAAAGTGAAACTCAACCTCCCAAATGTGAAGCCAAAGCCGAAGTGAGATGAATTGCAGTCCCCCCTTCATCCACTAGGGGCAGGCTCCAGAAAGGAGCATGTTCCCATTGACTCCCAGCTTCACAGCAGAAATGAACAAGTCTACAGCCTGGTTCAAAAAACATTTTAGGTTTAATAGATCAAGTTTACCTTCATGATAACTCTGAGGGGGTGAATTTGTGCAACTCATCTGTTTAGATGTAATCAAAGGTAGACATTAGGATTACTTAAGGGTGTGTCCATTTGATAAACAGGTAGTGGATGAGCTGTCAGTGCTAGCGCTAGCGGTTCGCACTTCTGCTTGCTCCAGGGCTCCTCGGCTTCACATTAACAGTGTTACAGCCTAAAAGGCAAAGGTTAGCAGAGTCACTCAACAATTATTTTCTGGCTGAAAGTGCCCGCCAACCTCTGTTATCTTTGGTTAGATCAGTTAGCTTGTAGCTACATTGGCTAACAGCTTTATGGGTGTCGATCATCTGCCTCCCCTAGCCCCTCGCTCAGCTCCATTTTTGTATTTTCTGGGAGTGATGAGACACGTGACGTGGCCAAGAAGGTGGTGATGGGAACCGCCGAATCAATTATCTTCTCAGAAACCTACAGGTGACGGTGCAGAGGGTTCTTCCATATTTTAAGAAGAGGGTCAATCATCACTGTCATTTCTAGAAAACAGAAACCATTCATGAAACTTGTCTAAAAATAAAAACCTTGACAGAAGAAAAATTGACCCAGATCCTGTTTCATGACGATGGATTAACATTTATTTTCAAGACAAAAAAAATTGGAAAAAGGTTGATCCAATATGTGTATTTTTACAAACATATTGCATGGTTCATATATTGATGAGTAGGTAAAACAAAATTAATAATGTATTTATTGCATTTTTTTTATTTGAAAAAAAAATATTATGGCCTGAGAGGACATTCATCTTGGTGAGTTTGGTCCCGCCTCAAAAAGACACCACTAGTTTATATCACACATAATAGTGGACAAACAATTGGACAATAACTATTTCTCCAAACAGAGGCCGTTCTAGAGACATCTACGGTAGGAATTATTCCCAACTTTTACACAGAAACACCCTTGTCGTTGGCTGGATGGGCTTTAATGAAAACAAACATGCACACAAAACGAATTTATCAGCCACGTGGCTGTGACTGCTGCCACAAGTACCCCAAATGTAAATGCTAGCAGTCACTTTAACAGCTCTGCTTTTTTTGACACCGCGTTAACGCCTTGCATCACTGGCCTATGAAATTTACCAATTACCTCAGAAGTTCCTCGCGACTTTCATCGTTTTTCTCCTCGCGTGAAACAGTGTTGATGTGCATTACATGACTGGAATACCCGAGTGTGTTCTTTCTTGGCTTTTTCAGGTTTCACACATGGACATATTGATGTGGAAAACAAGCGCACACGCATGCACTACCACACATCCACAGCACAGCCCCTCATCACTTTGGATCCCAGGCTAAAGGGCTTCTACAGAACCCCACACCACATCCAGGCTCAATGACAGCCTGCCCCCCCCCCCCCCCCCCCTGCAGTGCACTGCAAGGACATGGGAGTGCACCGCATGGAGGGAGTCGTCATTGAGGCGGGCACCCTGGTCTACTACGGACAGATAGCACCACAGAGTCTACAGAGCCAAGCCAGGCCAAAACCCACAAACGCAGCAGCTAGATTCTACCACCACAGGCTAAGAAACAAAACACCAGAGTCAGATACGGTACCTGCTTTGTCAACCATGCTCCCATGGTCTGCAGTGGGAGAAAATGTGCAAAAGGTAAATGTTGGGGAGATTATTTCTTTTTTTTTCTTCCTTTCTTTAAAAAAATAAAATAAATGCAAGCAACGTCATGCAGAGCTGAAATGAATCTAACAGGCAAGCTGTTATAAGCTAACACTGAGGATGTCTGGTGCTAGTGAAGTGCGCTTTGTGCCAAGCTGAAGCCTGACAACTCTTTCATCTTGGGCTGATTCGGCAGTCAAAGCTGCCCTACTTTCTGATGGGGGAAAGGGGGAGATCATAAACTGTTCTTCCCCGTGCATGTGTGTGTGTGTTGGTGTGCGAGTGCAGAGGTGTGTGCTTGTGTTTGTTTGGGTTGTGTAACAGGCTGCAGTCACAGTGCCTCTGGTGACAAAGAGAAGAGACTTTGGTGTCTCACGGCACTGCAATGGGAATCAGAGGGATCTGGCACTCATCCATCCAAAGTGAAAGTGATGTCAATATGAGATGGTGATTGACTGACAAAAGTCACACACATATATCCACTCTCTAGGATAACACACACACAAAAAATTGAGTTATTTTTGATCACAGTGAGCTGAAGAGTTTTTTATTTCATTGCACAACTTTGGTGTTTCAAAGGCCATAAAACAGCTGAAACTCCTGGGGTGTGCAGCTGAGAGGCAGACTATAAACAACTAAACCCTGCTCTTTTGTAATCCTCCCACCCTCACGTCTCAGAAGTTTACTCCTCTCCGCTCACTTCACCCACCTTCTGCGCCAGCCCCCTTCGTCTGCGCCCCGTGGCATTGCTTTTGTCCCCGCCTCTCATTTCCAAATTAACAAAGCAAACATAAAAAAACAAATGAAATAAAACTCTGTCTGGCGTCTGGTGTTCCTGTGCTCAGCCATGTGTCAACACACCCAACACACACCTCCAGATGACACACGGCCGCCGGTTCTTACCGATGGTGCAGTGCTCTCCGTTCCAGCCCTGGTGGCACTGGCACTTGCCGTCCTTGCAGGTCCCGTGTTTGATGCAGAGCGGGTTGCAGACGCGCTGGTCGCAGGCGGCACCTGTCCAGCCTTCCTCGCAGCGACAGGCTCCGCCCATACACACGCCGTGGGTTCCACAGTCGACTGAGCACACCTCTAAAAGAAGTGACACAGCTTTGGGTCAGTGACAAAACTTTATTACTAATATTTTCTGCTGATGTTATTTTGTAGTGTTAAGTTTTAAATCAAAGGCCCAACTGTCCAGACTTCTAAACTGATTCTGGTTTTGAGAGCTGACACAGATCTCCAACTTCTGTACTCTTCTGGTTTTATCAGACGAAAGTGAACATTTTATTTCCTGGATTAAAGTCTTCCACATGGAAGATCTATTATTAGGTTTTTCCTTGTTTCCCTGGTTAGCTATGAACCAGCTGACCTTCAGTACGTTGGTGCATGTCTGGTTTACCCTCAGATGATCTGAAGGAGAGAGAAGGGCTGGGAGACATGGGCCGAAAGTCACATCTGGATATTTTTCCCTAAAGACACCAAAGAGTTACAGCTACGTCTCAAATGTCACACAGGCTCTTTTATTAATAACACATTCATAATCAATGTAAATTGACTTTAATTCTGTATGGAGCAACTAGGGGCGGGCCATTATAAAACTGGTGTAACGTCCAGAAATGGTCAGTTTTCACCTACAGATCGACCAACATGCCACCGGTCATCTGCAGACATAAACTCCATTCTCTAAGGTGGATTTTACATCCTAGCTTCCAACAAGCCCAGAAGGTTCTGCCGTGTTGAACACATGATAATGTATTGTCAACATCATGTTCCCTTCTCAAGGTTCTTCTCTGACAAGCTGTCTGCTTATCTAGGCCGTCCTGCACAGAATAAAGGACTGAACCGTTAAAATAGTAAATAATCATATGGTCAAATGAGCAATAATGGTTGGTGAATAATAATAATGTTTTGATTAATCTGTGCTTAAATTACTGAAGTTGAAATGAGTATTATATATGATGATCAGAAATGTTTGGTTTAACAAGTGAATCATTATCTACACTCAGGCCCTGTCCACACGTAGCCGGGGATCTGCCAAAACGTAGATATTTTTCTACGTTTTGGCCTGTCATCCACACGAAAACGGAGTTTTTTCACACGAAAACGAATCTTTTTAAAAACTCCGGCCAAAGTGAAGATCTGCGTTTTCTCCGTTTTGGGTGTCTGCGTGTGGACAAACAAAACTGGAGTTTTAAGGTCCGCAACGTCACTTTCCGCGACAAAAAAATGCTGACATCACGTGTGCGACCTGTGTTTACACTAGCCGACAGCATGGATGCCCTCAGAGCTGCGCTCGCTTTATCAATTGTCCAAGCGCTTTTTGCTTGTTTGTTTTTGCAAGCAGAATTACTGCTCCTTGCGGAAGACCACAGACGAAGGACGAGGTTAAGAACGGGGAAGTACTGCCGCCTACAGGTCTGGCATGTCCTTAACAACATATTTATCCGGGTACGTGTGGACAGAGTTTTTTTTAAACGAGGTGGTGTGGATGCAAGTTTTTGGAGGGACGGATATTCGTTTTTAGAAAACCCCGGCTATGTGTGGACTAGGCCTAAGACACAATGTTCATTAGAAATAAATTCAAGTTAAAGTAATTTCTGCACATAGATATTTTCTTGGCCACAAATCAGAGCATCCTGTATCTGAAAGAAGGCGTGATGCTCTGAGGGTTTGTTGTTAACACCCCTTAACATGGCACGTCCCGACTGGCCAAGTAAATCATAATATGAGAATATTAAAACAGAATCACTGGGGAGTGATTCTTCATTCCAGCATTCTGTGAGATTCAGCATTCTGCTAGTTGAGCTAACGCTGACAGGCCGTCGGAGGGAAGCTCTGCTCACACCGCATCTCTTGACAAGCTTTCGACAAGCTAAAAGCTGCCTGCAGCTGACACAGACATATCAGAAACAGCTGCTCTAGACGCAAACTAGTTCCAACCTGTGTGCCCGGTGACATCTCTGGACTGAGCCTGGGTGCTGCGGTTAATCTACTGAACCTTGGTCCCCAGAGGTCATCCGACCTTCCTGACCTCCGGATCCACGAAGAGGGTCTCCAAAGAAAGGGTGAGGTAGACACACATGATTGTGTCTGATGCCGTTTTGATAAGAACCAACTTAATAGTTTAATGCAAACCAAATTCTTTTCACACCCAGAACTCAGTTCTTCTAGACATAAGGTTCTGATAAACACACACCATTAAATCACCACACATCACATCCCATCCACTTAGATTCATCCATCACAGTTGCCTTGGTTAACTTGTCATGTTTTTAATTTGTTTAGAAAATAAATTTCTTATCTTTTATAAACCTGACTCTGTCTGAATGGAGACGAAGTGTGTTTGATCCCTGAAAAAGCAAAGAATCCTAGAATCTTCTGGTTAAACATCCAAAGACCAATCAGGTTAATATCCTATATTTATATAGAATATTAACCTGCTTGGTCATAAGTAAAGGTAGTATATTAAGCTTTAAAGCAACAACATTTACCCTCTTCACTGGTAAACCTTTTGGCTCGTCTCTATACCAACAGGAAAAAACCCGGCAGTAATGGTGAAAATGCTTGCTGAAACACATGAGTCCCCCCAAAAATTAAAAACCAAGAACCGGAGATAAAGTTTAGGCAAGGACGTTAACTCGGAGGTTTTTATGAATTTAGAGAACTACTTTCCTGTAAATTGTATCAGCACCAGTGTCGGACTGGCCATCGGGAGAACTGGGACACTTCCAGGTGGCTGCCGACCTGGCCCACATGGCGACCATCAGGTCGGGTCATGCTTGATTTTTAAATAAACAATCCATCATGAGGCTCATTAGAGCATCTGCCCCAATGAATATCTCACAGACTCACATCCCTTTATTGCCCCAGTCCGTCCCTGATCATCACACGACCAACAAGACGGCAAGATAGCTGGAGCGACGCCTGCTAACTCTAGAAATTCAGTGGTTGTTGATATTGATTAACTGGGTCTAGATAACTTGTGAATTGTTTGAAAATATGTCAGTTTTTTTAAACTCAAGATATTACTGAGATTAGATTAAATTGTCCACCCCCCCCCCCCCCCCCCCAAAAAAAAACTCCAACAAACTAAACAAATTTAACCCTCCCACTGTCTTTATGGGGGACCCCGTGAGGAAGAGGAAAGTTGACCACTGAGCAGGATTGATGGTTTATCCCTTGAGGTCCATGTGGCAGGGGTGAGATTCACTCACCCCTGCCGCATGGACCCAAGGGATAAACCATCAACCCTGCTCAATGATCAACTTTCCTTGCGGGGTCACGCCCATTAGGACAGTGGGAGGGTTAAAGTATTGTTACCCATTTTGTTAGATAAGTAGGAAAAAACAGTTTGTAACCAGCCCAGCCATTCTCCTGATCCGAAAGTACTTCTTTAGCTTTAGCTTAGCATAAAACAACGTAAGTGAATGGTGACAACTAGCATTGAGTGTGAAAAAGCTGTTAAAATGACTCAATAGTGATTTTAACGCTGCTTGGTGACCTTGATTTTTCCTACTTGACCAACTTTGGGGAAAAGGGAACCTAAGTCTCCTCACTTTCCGGTCGGCTCATGGGTCCCCGGAAAAACGAAAAAATGAATGAAAGCTATTTTCTAACCCGCTTTGCCTTAGGCCCTGGATCGCATGTGTTGTACTGCAATTTAAATGAAAAGTAATGATGGGTGTTTCGATCACGCCTGTCAAGTACTTTGAGATTTATCAGCTTGTAAATGTTCGTAAATAGCATGACTAAAATGGTAAATGGTCTGTATTTGATATAGCGCCTTCTAGAGTCCTGGAACCCCCCAAGGCGCTTTACAACACAATCAGTCACTCACCCATTCACACACACATTCATACACTGGTGGGGATGAGCTACAATGTAGCCACAGCCGCCCTGGGGCGCACTCACAGAGGCGAGGCTGCTGAGCACAGGCGCCACCGGTCCCTCCGACCACCACCAGCAGGCAATGTGGGTTAAGTGTCTTGCCCAAGGACACAAGACAGTGACAGACTGAGCGGGGCTTGAAGCTGCAACCTTCCGATTACGGGGCGAGCACTTAACTCCTGTGCCACAGTCGCCCCTACACACCAGAAATCGGCACGTTGTGTAAGTGACGTCACCACAGAATCTTCTCTCCTCTAGCGTAGCTGCTACTTACCAAACGGCCAGTTTTATGGTGGTTTTTCCTCCTGAAGGAAGTATTTTAAGTTAGCTGAAATTACAGCCATTTTCACTCAGTTTTCTTCATGTCTGGTTCGTGAAACGCATTTGTAGTCCTGGACTTATTTACACACAAAACCTAAAATAAAGTTTTCCTCCGATCGAAAATAAACACATTCTTGGTATCAAAATGCGTTTTTAAAATTCACGGACATCATGTGTGAAATCCATGGCACAAAACAAGCGGAGTTGGAAAATAGCGTTTTTAGCCCCGTTGACTTGCAGTCATTTTTTTGTTCTTCCAGGCACCCGTAGTCCAGAGGTAGATGGGCGTGACTTACCCCAAGATTCCACTACCTCCGCTCCGCTCCGCTCCACTCCGCCCCCGCCTTCCCCAGCCGCTCGCTTCCGAACTCAATCTTTACTGGTACCCGCTCTACAACGGCTCCGCTCCGGTGCGGAGACCTGAGGTGCGCAAACAAGCATGCGTGGGATTTTCGAGATCTTGCGATACAGTCCGAGCAATAAACGCGGAAGTTAGATCCAAACACCCGTTGTGTGGGAGAAGCATCGAAATGAACTGTTTAATCTGCCCATCATTTGTGTTGAGAGATCAGCAGTGTTTGGATCAACAAAGTGTGTCTACTTTGATAGTGGAAACTGTATTTATGGCTTATTTTTGTATATTTAAAGTTCAGCCGCCATTGATAGTTGTTAATGTCACGGTCTGGGTTTTTTTTCACACACTAATTGGTGTAGAGTCTCATCTCTCCTCTGCAGGTGGGCGTGCCTGGAAGTTGGGAGGCTGCAGGTAATCTGCTGATTAGCTGGCCAGGGATATTTAAGCTCCTGAGAGACGCCTTCACTTCGCTGGATGATTAACTCAACTTGGGTATTTCTCCTAACAGCCAAATCCAAACTAAGCT